ACTTCCTCTTCTCTAAATCATCCATACTGAGGATCACTGAAAATGTCTTCCGCTAGCAAGTAAACAAAGGGGGAGAACTCTTCACAAACTAATAAAGGATTAACGGAGTTGTCTCTCTTGAATGAAACCAAGCACTTGATAGCTGGTCAAGGTTGTCTATACTAAATAAACAATTAAACGTATTCCTTAAATTCTCAATAATTTCTGGTCATACTATATATTAACTGTAAACAGGGACACTATACACAGAGGACAGGACAGTAATTACATGTAATTCTTTATCATGTATACTTGAGCTGATAATTAGTCGTTGTGCTCCAGAGTGCTTATGGTCGATTCAGTATGGGGTGTGAAAAACAGGAATAGCTCTTTCTGTCCTCCAAAAAAAACGATAATGTACACCAATAGGTACGCCCCTTTTTTGGTTTGTGAAATACAATCAGAAAGAAACTGACTTATATTGTCCACCTTGTTTGTGCGATACGCTGGATAATTGAGTATGATCAATAATTTACTACATAATGATTGCACAGCGTTTATATTTGAAGAAATATATGTTGCATTAGTAAAACCGTATCGTATATGGACACATGAAGTAGGATAATCAAATGACCCAGTTAAACAAAGCTGTAGTCGAGGCTGTTTATACAGGCAAGTCGCATTCATAATCTCGGGCGTGCTCTGAACAAGATAACGTGTTAAGTTACGTAGCCCTAGCTAACATGGCAAACATTCAGCTATATTTCTTCCCCGCAAGCCCGTTTTGTCGTTCTGTCCGCATGACAGCCAAGGCTCTTGGTGTACCACTCGAGTTAAAACAACGCAGCTACCACAACAAAGACCATCTTAGCCCAGAGTTTACAAAGGTAAGTTGCCCGTGGTGATCCGTGTTAGTGCAAGGTTCTGTACATCACCTAGGTCACATTTACAGCTGAACGAACGAACTGCCACAGACTGCTGTAGTTGTTTACTTGCTTGCTTACCCCTACATGTGGACCCGTGAAGATCCGTGTTAGAATTGGTCTTCAGCAACTCATGTCTGTCGTAAGACACGGGATCGGGTGGTCAGACTTGCTGACTTGGTGGACACATGTCATTGTGTCCCAATTGCGCAGATCAATGATCATGCTGTTGATCACTTGATTGTCTGGTCCAGACTCGATTATTTGCAGACTGCCGCCATATAGCTGGAATATTGCTGAGTGCGCCGTTAAACACCAACCCACCAGCCCTTATTGTTGTACAATCTCACCTTTTCGCAAACACATGGTATCATCACGATTACCTATTGATTTACAGACTCATTTTTATAATAAAGTCGTAGAATCGAACAATGGCCTCTCGGAGATGTTTATGTTGTTATATACATCTGTGCCTGTCCCATACACCTACCGAGTGGATGGCATCCTGCAAACATGCGTGATGTCCAGCTTTAAATAACCCAAAGTTAGTACCACCAAACCAAACTCCTCACTAGACACTTCCGCCTTAATTGAATTAGATAGACACCACTTAAACATCATTGTATTTCAACTAAAACGGGTCAGCTTATCCCTGTTTCAGTTTGAAGACGTTTTACATCGACTTTGTAGTTTTCAAACACGCCAAAACCATTTGTAAAAGCTCTGAGCATTCTAAATGATGATATTAGGAAATGCAGACCGATATCAGTTGAGTAGTAGGGTGTTTGGTGTAAAGCACAATCATTCGTGTGTCCCTTGGAAGGATTACGTTAGAAAAGGGTTTAACTTAGAAACCACATGTTGCGTGTAACTGTGCTCTTTGACCTATGATAAGAACAATATGCATTTCACAAACACCTAACGATAGTTAGCCTAATTAACTCAAACTGTTATATTGTGACATGTTTCAGATAAACCCGGATCAAATTGTCCCAACAATTATAGATGGAGACTTCACACTGTGGGAGAGGTAAAGCGCACAAGAGAACTATATCGTCCATCTCCACTTATCCATGTATTTAGATTCATTTGCAGACAATTTAAGATGGCTGGCTTAACAATATTACTTATGATTTGAACAAATTGATACAACAACGCTATCTAAAATCTAAAACATTGGCTAAATACACATACGAGCAATACGTAATGCACATACATATTTATAGTTTCTGATACAGATCATTCCTTCAAGTACTTTATTATCAGACGGCAGCTCACACGGGTAAACAGATTGGCCTCAGGTTTAATTCTTAACTATTTGAATCCCTTGCAACATATGCATGACAGTGAGTCTTTTATCACAAGAGATGCACAAAGGAGGTCCATCCTCATCTGTTTTAAGCAGATAGTCATGCGTTCACTGACTGGCCAAGCGACATGGTCGCAAAATGTCCTCATCATGTCTTGACTGACAACCCAATTAGGTGTAACCGATTGCTGGTTCAAATTAGTTTCATTCATGTCCCACTTGTGAGAATAAGATCAGGAGCATAGCATTTTACAGTTGGTTGAGAACACTGTACAGGATAAGAAGTGACAATAACATTTTGTCAAGAGCCGTCTAAGCGACAGCATCATTAGAAAATCTGTTTTAACCCTCTGCGTTAAGTAGAAGTCAACCATATATAAAGAGGGGCAGTGGCGGTAGACTAGTGGTTAAAGCGGTTGCTCGTCACGCCGAGGACACGGGTTCGATTCTCCGCATAGGTACAATATGTGAAGCCCATATATGGTGTTCCCCGCCGTGATATTGCTAGAATATTGCTATATTAAAAACGGTGTGAAACTAAACTCACTCACTCCCATATTTAAAGACATTAATATGGTCCTGACTTTATACAAACTGTTTTGACAAAACACATGTATGGAATCTTTCTAATCATAACATATGTTCTTACACACGTATGTGCTATAGACATTATTGGGATAACGGGATCTGTCCTATCCCACGTACCTTTGGAAACTTGGTAGGAAAGTGGATAACTTGTCAAAAGTAGTTGATACTATTTCACAGGGAACAAAATAAGGGAGTAAAGGGGATTATCACGGCCCAGTGATTTCTTCTTCTGAAACAATAGGAGTTGGGTAAGTGGGAAGACCCCAGAATATCAGTAGGGACACAGGACAGAAGCTATGTAGAAATGCGACATCTTGTTCACATCCAGGGCAGGCAGATATCTATACCACATGTATACGTAGTTCTACACATACAGGTTGAGCATACTGCTATCGACCCTATTATGCATCTTTTACATAAATATAAACCCCGACGTCACTTATGAACTTCTTTCCTGAAATCCTGGACTGTATGAACAATAGCCGATTAGTTTAAGGTTTCCTTCTAAATCTACACATACGTGTAAATGTTGATAATTCCGCCCATAGATCTATTCTACAAGATAATCATGGAGCTATTTGTACCTGGCACAGTGTAAGTCTTACGACTGTCATGTGCAGAGACCAGTTGCGCCAAGAATCCACAGTACTAAAGCTATCGAAAGTCTGTTATCCGTGATATACATGAAGTCCGTAACAGAAAGACAGGTTTGTCAAGCTGATGCTGTGGTCTTCGGATTCTTATTGCAGTAGTATGTGCAAATCACTCTTTTAGCAATATTCCAGCAATGCCAGGGCTGTGTTTTTATTTTATCATTTTCAACCAGTACTATATACTACTCTTTACGATGTTATAACTCTCACCATTTGACTATATTGTATCCACAGCCGCGCTATCATGCGCTACCTGGTGGGGAAGTTTGGGGGTGAAGACAACAGTCTGTACCCCCGGGACCTCCAGAAGAGGGCTGAGGTGGACCGCCTGTTGGACTTTGATCTGGGGGTCATCTACAGAGCCCTATTTGAAAATCTAGTACGTAATCGTGTAATCAGTTTAATCAGATCCCCTTACTCAGAAACACTCCACACCATGCTCTCATCGTCCTCATAAGGATTGCGGAGAATACGGAGGATTGTGTAATAGGAGACACCGCTGAAATAGTGGCGCGAGTTACTAGAAGGTTAAGAACGAAACCGGTGGTGGAACGAAACATATTCCAATTTATATATATTCTGACTACATTGGCCTATCTGCTATAGATAATTAGCAACGCGTTAAAATCGCGGAACCATCACAGAGTATAACATCTTGAACACGCAATTCAAGACCCTAGAGTTTCTCCCCATTCATAAATGATGGCCGTAAAAGGGGACGAAAGGAAACGGGTCTCACTCGCTGACTCGGTTGATGTATGTCAACGTATTTTATATATGTACATCGATGCTCACGAATCACTGGATTGTCTGATCTTGACTTTATTATATAATGAATACAGCCATGTACGTATTGCTGCGTGCGGCGTTAGACGATAACACTAAAGAACAAAACAGTGAGTGAGTTTAGTTTTACGACGTTATATCACCAGAAAAGGGCCTCAAAACATTGCACCCATGTGAGGAATCGAACCCAGGTCTTCGGAGTGACGAGCGAACGCTTTAACCACTAGTCTAACGCCATGCCCCCAAACAAACAAACACATGGAGTGGTGTCAATGTGTACTTTTACACTGAGTACAAAAACAAAGGGACACTTCTCTCACACGTACCAACACCCGCCATATAATTACTGTTTTTCCTTTCAGGTGATTCCATTAAGATACAAAAAACTCCCAAAGACAACAAAAGAGCAAGATGAGACGATCATGAAGGCTTTCGGGCGGATTGATACATTGGTGAAAGATAAGAAGTTCCTCACTGGAAATAACCTCACTATTGCCGACTTTGCAATGGTGGTGGAGTTTGCTGACGAAGTCCTCTATTCAGGGGATATGTCGAAGTATCCTAATGCCATGGCATGGTACAAGAGAATGCAAGAATTACCGTACTACCAGGAAGTAAATCAACCATTTTATGACCTTGTGGAAAATATGAAGAATCCAGCGGAAACGTCGTAAAATGTTGAACGTAAACTGATACGTGCTGATGCATTGAAGGGTACCGATGATGAAATAAGTTCAGTAACAACAGTGTAAAGTGTTCCATGTTGTGCCACTACCAGGTACCAAGGACGAACACATTTATTTAGAGTAACTAATACTTGGCTTATAAATCAAAAGAAATATTCGAGAAAATACTGAATATCAGGTCAAGCAGGTACTCATATCATTAGGTACTCATATCATTACGCTCTTACAATATATGAAGGAAAAAGTGAGTACCACTTACTATATACTTGCATGTAAGCAAAATCATAATCCATTTTTATCACAAATATATTTCATATATTGCTCATATACAGAGAAATACAAAAACTGAAATGAATTATCTCGTATATCACATGTCCCTTAATATATATATATGTTCCCTTATCTCCCCGTTAGCGTATATTTCAGACAGGCTGTGGAATATCTGTTATGATCATCTCCTAAAACGGATTCCATTGGGGGTTAAACGGCAAAACATGGGTTAGAATTATAATGAATGGATCTAATAAGAACATATGAATTATTCAGTCATGAATTCCACCAAGAGCTGCTGTAGTTGCCTCCCGTGGATATTCCAGATTCGGGTTAGATTTCGGGTTGATTATGTTTCTTTGTTTGTCAGAACCATACCCGTTAAGTTGTAAACATCTAAAAACTAAATTACGGTGTCATCTGCTCACTGGACCGTACACGACGTCCGCTTACACAAAGGAAGGCCGATATATGTTAAACCTTCATGCTCGACCTCTTTACATCCGATACCCCGACGGTTGACACAATATGCTTTCACACTCAAGAGCAGTGCAGATATAGACAGCGTGTTTTCTGTGGAGTGTAGTCCTAGCTAACATGGCGAACATTCAGCTATATCACTTCTCTGCAAGCCCGCCATGTCGTTCTGTCCGCATGGCTGCAAAGGCTCTTGGTGTTCAACTCGAGTTGAAACAACTCGACTTTGCGAACAAAGAACATCTTAATCCAGAGTTTTTAAAGGTAAGTAACCTACGGCTACAGGTTTAGAACCGGTCCCCTGTCAGCGTTCGAAATAAACGCCACTCCTTAGGCCCGAAGCCGGCTGTAAACCACTCGGGACAACAGCTATCGTTTTCTGCAGGTCCTTATGACCGACAGTTTTTTCATCCCCAATAACTAAGAGTATTATTTCCATATTAAGACATGCGGCCTACACATTCTAATCAGGACCCACATATTTTTATGGTTCTAGGTCCTTAGAGCCTGCAGCTTTTCAGGGTTAAGGACAAACACTGTTCCCTGTACACACAATGCTAGTCGTAAGATAAACCTAATTGTTTTTGTTTTTGATTATGATGGTGATCTGAACCTTACTGAAATGAGATGGCCATATCAACAGTTACGGTTATGGAATCGGCCATACGATATAGTTCCATGAGATTCTTGAGAGGCATTTAGAAGTTGGTGAATATATAAAACGAGTATATGGATGGAAACTTCTTGTTTATTGTATATCACAACGTTTCTGGGCTACTTCTTGCCCCTTCTGCGGGTGTTATCTGAATATAGTTCCAGATATAGTTCCAGAAGACATACCCGTTTGGGGATTCGGAGGAGAATCTGTCCCCAGTGCCCAGTGAAATGTTACTGCGTTGGACAAAAACAGTCCTTTTTCGTTCACCCGTCACTGAGATGAGTATAAACTGATGAAAGTATATCACAATACATGGCCTGAGAATGACGCTAAAATACCGAACCGAAAATTTCTATTTAAGAAGCGTCTGTTAAATATGAATTTATCGAAAGAGTGCCCACAAACAAGCCCGACGTCCCATGCTCAGGGTCCCACGGCCCATTTCTACCACGCCCCACTCCAAGTCAATACATTTCTCACACAGTATGAAAGTTTGTTGAAGTGACAATTGTAACACGATAGTGTTGTTACTTAAATTAGATTTATATCATAAATATAGATTCGTTTCATTCACGTACGACCTCATCTGAATATTTGTGCTTATGCAAAAAATAATCACCGAGAACAGCTTAGTTTTTAAAACATGAAAGGGGATATGTTCACGGTATGATCTCCGGCTAACCTAGCAAAATTGAGTATAAATAAAGGAGAAATCCAGTAATTGGTGGAATCAAAGGAAACATGTGTCAAAGATCAACACGTGAGGACATGTGAAAAACCCACGCTGCTGTAACTCGATGTGTGGCTATTAATGGAGATGATACAATAAAGTGATATGTGTGGCCATGGTGACCTCTGCCACAAAAACAAACATGTTCACACTTCATTATTTGCATAATTAGTAATGTACTTATGAACAAATATACTTTAAAATAACCTTATAGGAGGTTTACTCGTGTGTCTCATCACTAATTTGGGATACACGTCTGATCGTGAATACAGTGATAAAAATTAGTATCTATGCAATTATTATGGAAAAGCCCTTCGAACTGCCTCAGCGTGAAACCTACACTCGAAATATGGAACCTGTGCATCATCACTGGGTGAACTGTTTACCGTTCTGCCAGTCAGTACTTCGATAACAGGTTCCAAGCACACATCTGGTTCTGACTTCGAATCGACTCCTCTCCCCTCCAAACACACACACACAGATAATGTCCACTGTAATTCGTATTCATACAATTATGAAATATGTGTTTGCTATAAACGGGAAATACCTGCCAAATGCAATGATATATGTGATGGGCATTTTATTTGTCACTGAACATAGTCGCATTACAGGATATATTTCAGGGTTATATTACATACCCAGCGTATTGCAACAGCGACGTCGAGTGTCACTGGGTCACTAGCCTGATAGCTGACCTGATTTTGGTGAATAGCAACGAGTAGTTCTCACCTACATAACCTGGCTTTATGGGTAGGAGTGACATTAGTTCCGCTCTGGAAACCACCTGAAATAAACTGATGTCACTGGAGCATTGGTTTAATATTAAACACGTGTTCACACCATAGTTTTGTCATCAATGGGCATTTGCGTTGCATATGCTTGATATATTACAAAGTAAATCAACACGTGATGTCAGATATATATTTCTCTGTTTGTGTTCAATAAATACATAGATGAATCTAATTCGGCATTCAAAGTTACAGTCGTAGTTATCAACCGGTCATGTTACACCGCACAGAAGCATTTACGTTATACACGATATGACTAAACACTGTATTTGAGAGTGTGCTTCTAAACGAAACTGTGTACTGCTGAGTCATGGGTCAATTTCTGGGACGGTCGCTCTCACCAAGGTAGCCTAGATCGGATATTTTGATTGAAGCGCTACAAAAGTAGGGCTGAGTGAGATCCGCACGTCATGAACTCTACTTCAGTAACGGGTTTTCACAAGATTATGACATGGCAACTAGCTGCCAGTTATCAGTAAGCGTTACCTCATTCGGGTAGCTCATCGTAACACCGACGTCGATTCAACATCTTTTACAACATCTATTCCTCGATGAACCAGAGGCTGACAGTATGAGCACTCATTTGGCGTATGAAGTCATGGCGTAATAAGACAGATCATTCATTATCACCGTGTGATCATCAGTGTAGTTAGTTTTTACAACACGTATGGCTATGTTAACCCCGGTTTTTAATCCCTATATCTAATTCTAGGTTGTACTGTTTAAAGCAATTATGCAGTATCTGGCTCAAGCAAACGTATTATATGTCAAACATCAAAGCAGTTCTTCAATATAAGTAATGGGCAGAGCAGATATTTATTCACTTTAGCACCAGTTTAGTTGTAGGGCGTTGGAAGGCCGTCCTGTTAGCATTCGGTAAGTGATATCAGGTCAGGTGATATCTCGTCATAATCAGACAACATGATTTTTGACAGAAAACCCGGTGAATTACAAGGGGGTATGCACATTAGATGAAACACCGAGAACAATTAGACCTGGTCTAAGTTAACGCTCATCACATACTGCACGTGCTTTTGTTTCACTGTTCCATCTACTGCGCTTACCCCCTTGTAATACTAACCAATAATAGCGATTTGAATCTATGATCATTTGTTAAACAACTTTTATCCTAAGTTGAATAAAATTCTGAGATTTAATTGTTCATTTGGCAAGGTAAAATTGTGAGGATTCGCAATCTTAATTTCACTTAATTTGATTTACTTTTTTGTTTAAAGTGAAATTCATCGGTACGTTTTCACTGCATACAGACTATAATTCGTCTATCTATTAACAGCTTGTTTTCTTAACGTATATTGTAACATGTATATTTCAGATAAACCCTGATCAAATTGTCCCAACAATGACAGATGGAGACTTCACACTGTGGGAGAGGTAAGGCCAGACACTTATTAGACGTTAGACACGTATTAGGCGTTAGACACTTATTAGACGTTAGACACGTATTAGACGTTAGACACTTATTAGCAATGTTGGTAACATGATGGAAGGCATGGACAAAAGACGGTTCGTTGGTAGGCTATGTTGGAAAGCTCTAGTCTCGACAGAATCAATACAGTTGCACAAGCAATCATGTGTGTAGACTTTTCAATCATGTACAATAACAGTTAACTGGACCTCCACGACACCCAAGACTGTATATGTTCACATCTATACATATGTTTACAAGCACCTGTTCATCACCATAGCCATGACCCTTCTCCAGACGCGCGCGCGCACACACACAGACACACAGACACACACACACACACACACACACACACACACACACACACACACACACACACACACACACACACACAAACACACACACACATAGAGCAAACAAACCCAACCCCTAACCCTTGTATCATGTAGCGTACTAGCAATGCTTTTAAAATCATTAAACGTATACATATTGGTACGGAGTATGCAGTAAAGTTCATTGGAACTCCACTGTCGTCAATGTGTTGGAGGACAAAAAGGAGTGTCATGTATGTGGACTCCGTTATGTTGCTGCGATCGTAGCGGTTCGACGATTGTAAGCCTATATTAAAGTATGGGACGTACGATCACATTAGGTCGTATTGTTGAACGGGGTACCAGCACAGACATCAACACCACGGGGTACCAGCACAGACATCAACACCACGGGGTACCAGCACAGACATCAACACCACGGGGTACCAGCACAGACATCAACACCACGGGGTACCAGCACAGACATCAACACCACCGAGGTCACCAGAGAAATACTTTGTTGAACGGGGTACCAGCACAGACATCAACACCACGGGGTACCAGCACAGACATCAACACCACCGAGGTCACCAGAGAAATATATTGTCGGACTAAGGAGTCTATGTTTGATCCGATCACATTTGAAACAGTTTGTCACAGTTTTACCATGCAGCCTTTCGTAAGCTAATTTACGGCCTTTATGATTGTTTTGGTAAGGCATTTAGAAGTTGGACGAACATGAATACATGACACGTTTTACGGATAACAACTTCTTTATTTTCTCCTTCTAAGGAGCAAGAATTAGCTCTGAAACGTATAAAGAATAAACAGAAGTTGTTATCCATAAAACGAGTCATGTATTCATGATTGTAAATCTGATCAAACAGGATTTGAACAGGAGTTGTATGAGAATGTTCGACTGCAATTCATTTATGAAATGAGGACATCATGCAATCTGGCTGCACATAAAGTGAAGGTTGACTCATGGCAACTCTCTTGTCATACAGTCGTGCTTTTAACACTATCAATCTTTATTTGTGGATCTAAATATGACACATTGATGCAGTTTTACTGTTTTCTAGTTTCCTTTTTCTGACATTTTCTTCATTTCATCAGTAGACTTTCAATCAGTAGTGTATACATACTACTCTTTACGATGTTTTGATTCTAAACACTAATCCTATCCACAGCCGCGCCATCATGCGCTACCTGGTGGGGAAGTATGGGGGTGAGGACAACAGCCTGTACCCCCGGGACCTCCAGAAGAGGGCTGAGGTGGACCGCCTGTTGGACTATGATCTGGGGGTCTTCTACAGAGCCATGTTGGAGACTCTGGTCAGTAATATTACAGAATAACAGAATAACACACGTTTATTGCATTTCGGGGCCAGGAGGCCTAGAGTACAATGTAAGAAACAATATGAATTTATATATAATTTTTAGAGCGCTATAATGTAAGGTACATAATACACAATGCCATTGAGGATGTGGTCAAATGCAACACGTTCTATTTGGGACCACGCCCTCTCAGCAAAGCACATACTCCCGCACCCCTGCCGGACCGGGTCCCATCCAGGACCCGGACCCACACCCCACAGCCCGGCACCCACCCGCCAGCACACAGAACCGCTAGACGGGACCCAACCCAACATAAGCACGAGAATCCGCATCCCACCAAGAGAGCGCAATCCCAAACACAACATATGTTACTCTATAATCTTGCTTTGAATACTTTATACAAGTAGGTGGCTAAGCGGAGCAATAGATTTCTATCTGTTGTTGATACGAGGTAATAAAATGTGCAGTACATGGATGACTACAATAATACCTAGGTATAAAATGATCCCTAATGTGTGCGTTATTTGGACATATAAACAGAATATGATATTCATCTTCTTCACCTTCTCCGCAGTACGGGCATAATAAATCAGCAGGGTTACAATTGTGAACATGCTTGTATTTAGTAACTTTAAAATTATTTGAACAGCATCTGAACTTAGTCAAGGCTCTTCTTAATTGTACAGATTTTATACAAGTTAAATAACTTTCAGTATTAAGCTGAGATTCAAATGTACAACATGTTGACAGTAAAGTAGAATTACTAACATCTTGATGCCAATGTTGCCTATATAGTCTAAGACACGTTCTTTAAATTCTAACATAAATGATTTACTATTTCCAACTTCTTGACAAATCCATACAAACCCGAAGCCATGAGAAAATAAAGTAAGTCTAACTGCTGATGCCCAATTTATATAGCCTATATCATCATGTTGCTTCATGAGTATATAACAATGTATAACATAAGTATTACAATTCATACTGAGTATCCTTAACCAAAAGCTTATAACTCTTAGCTGTTGATGAATAAACAAGGGATGGCGTCCACATTCGCCCAAAGTTGCCAAATTGCTTGTGCGGTAGCCAACTCTTAAAACAAATTTACAAAATTTGGTGTGGATAATTTCTAAAACTTTTCTTTCTTTTGTACCCCAAATTTCCGAACCGTACATTAAAATTGGCTGAATTTTCCTATCAAAGATACCAAAACAGGTATTAACATCCAAATTTTCATATCTATAAATCATTCTTTTACAGGAACTAAAGCTTTTACTGCCTGTTTGGCCAAATTTTTGCAAGCAACTGTAAATATGTTTCTACCTGAAAATATAATACCTAAGTATTTATAATAAGAAACAACCTCAATAGGTTTACCTGCTTATACCCACTTTTCAAATTTTGATAATTTTCCTCCTTTTTTAAACACCATTATTTTGGTTTTGTCTAAAGTTACTGTTAAACCCCACTTTTCACAATATTCTTCTAAAATATCTATTTTCCTCTGGAGGTTGATTACTGTATCGCCAAACATAATGACATCAGCAGCAAATAAAAGCAGACAAATTTCTTCAATATCACTATCTACTAGAATACCTCGTGGGTCCGCTTGGACAATAGTTGTAGCTAACTCTTCAATATACATCAAAAACAAAATTGGTGACAACATACACCCTTGTCTAACACCTCGGGAAGATGAAAACATTTCTGTAAACTGGCATGGTGTACATCTCACACATGCTTTCACATTACAATAAATATTTTCTTGCAATTTATATAATTTACCATGAATTCCTTTTCTAAGTAATTTGAAGAGAAGCTTGCTTCTATCGACATAATCAAAAGCCTTTTTGAAGTCATTGAAAATACAATACAGTTTCCCTCGTTTTTTTCTAAGATACTTATAAGCTAATGTATTTAAGACAAACATGTTGTCAACAGTCGAATACCCATCTCTGAAACCAGCTTGTTGAAACCACTGCAGAGTGTAGTTCTAACCAAAATTTTAATCTTGTATTAATAATTGAGGTAAACACTTTGCCTAACATATCAAGCAAAGTAATCCCTCTATAATTATCCGGGTCTTCTTTACTGCCATGTTTAAATAATGGTATAATTGCGCCTTCATTCCAAGCATCAGGGAACTGACCTGCTGTGAGAATGTTATTAAACATCAACACCAAATATGGAGATAGAATGTCAACAACAGCTTTTATCGCCTCGGCTGAGATGCCATCCAGTCCAGGAGATTTACCATTTTTTAAATTCTTAATAGATCTTTTTATTTCCTCTTCCGTTATAGAGTCGCCAAGAATATCGTCACTTTCTGCACAATTCATACATACCAATGCATTATGATCTGCTAAATACTCTTGTACATGTTTGTCAAAAGAGTTCCCTAAGAAAACGTCAGGATTTAACAGAGTTTTGAAGTAACTGTACCAATTATGTACAGATATGACACTGTCGGTCGATTTTTTCCCACTCCATAAAGATTTTAACAGTCTTTACAGTCTTTGTTTTTAGCAGCCTCCGTTACGTCATTTACCACTTTGCGATCATATTCTTTCTTCCTTTGTTTACAAACTGCCTGAAAATAATGTTTACTTTCAATGTACTTCTTGCAGTCGTCAACACAATCAGATTTTCTAAAAATATTTAAGAGTTTATATTTGTCCTGCTTCGGACGGCGACATTCCTGGTCGAACCACTTTGGCTGAACAGAGCGACTGCGATTATGTTTATTAAAGTCTATCTTACGCATAAAGTCTAAGTCACTGAAACAAGAAACAAATAATTGTTGCAAATGAGATACACACTTATTAACGAGTGGTGGGTATTGCAGGGAATTTTTCATATTGCGATATATTGTGATGCGAAAGCATGCACTATTGCGATATGTATTGCAATATATTGCAAGAAGTTTTTTTAACAAAAAATTACTTACAATCGAGTTAATGCTTGTTTTATAAAGCAAAAACACAACAAAATCACAATGTTTGATTAGGCTTTAATAAAAACTTTTAATCATGACCATATAAAAATGTAAATAATGTTTGGCACAAAAGAAACAAGGAAAGTTACAATTTAAAAAGCGGACATATCCGAAGATTTTCGAGTGTTACGAAGTTTTCCGAATACGTGTCAAAATATCGGTTTTCGATCAGCCTATGGCAATACGTATCGTTTTAATGTCTGAACCGGTAAATACCGGTAAACCGGTTATATTGCGCAGGCCTATATTTAACATCATCAGCGTTTTCTTCAAAAACAGTCCTGGCACGATTTAAGGCTGTGCCCTAAGGACAGAGTAAAGGCATGCTGTTTGTTGTGATCCCACACGAAGCGATCGCGGGTGACGGTCGGCGTGCGTGTTGCACGTGCTGCATGTGGTATGTCGATTTCCGTTGGCCCAGAAAACACAGTCCTAATCGGCATATGATCTGACAGAACCTCAGGGATGACATGAAATGACTAGACGTAATGGAATATGTCTGTCGATATAACACAGTAATCAATTACACTGTTACCCTGTGCACCGACGAACGTGAATTCACCAACTTTGTCCCCATCAGATCTTCCGTTGGTTACATGTAAATCTAATTTTGTTTGCCATAATTATTGACAACTTAATCCTTAGACGTCCTTTCGATATGAAAAGAGTCCACACTGTAGCAGGTTTCTTCAAGCGGTATATACTTATCACCGTCAAAGATTATGTAATCTTGTAATGTTCCTATTCTAGAGTTAAAATCACCTTTCAATATGAAATAACAGTCATTGTACTCATTTAGTAACTCATATAAATGCACTTCTAGATTTTCGATACCCGAAGATTCATCTTTTTTGGTTGTTGGAATATACACAAAACCTAGCACGAGTTTCTCTTGGCTCTTGAACAAGTCCGAAATATCGAAGAAAATACAGCCTGTCCAATTGTCATGAATTCCGTGAATATAGGGCGAAATACCCTCTTTAACATAAACATCAATACCACCACTATATCTCCCTCGGTGTGATGTTTTATCTCGGACACACTGCAAACACTTATAGCCAGGTATTAGATTGGCAACATCATCCTGATTCCTAGCCCTAGTTTCTAGAAATGCACATATACTTGACATATTGACCAAATCCTCAATGGCACTGAAATATGTAACTGCAGTTAAAAGCAGCCAAGTAGTCTCCAGTACATACATCAGGATCTCACTGTACAGTGTGCAATCAAATTAATATCTTGCAGTAGGCCATTGTGTGGAGCTTAGCGTTTTTTAAATACAATATGGAAAAGTAGAAATCATTATCGGAAAACCGGTGTCATATATACTAATGTTTCCTAATTTCAGATGTGGCCAGTAAGAAACAGAAGTACACCGACCAAAGAACAACAAGAACAGGTTGTCAAGGCTTTCAACCGGATTAATACACTGCTCAAGGATAAGAAGTTCCTCACCGGAGATAATGTCACCATTGCCGACTTTGCGATGGTCGTTGGGTTTGCAGCCGAATTCCTCTTCCAAGGGAATATGTCAGATTACCCCAATGCTATGGCATGGTACAAGAGAATGCAAGAATTACCATACTACCAGGAAGTGAATCAAGCATTTTATGACATAGTGGAAAAAATGAGGAATCCACCAGCAGAAAAGTCGTAAAATGTTGAACGTAAATTGATCCGTGCAGATGCATTGGTTACTGATGATGAAATAGGTCAAGTCATAACAATGCAAAAGTTCCATGTTGTGCCAGTTTCCATTTATCTGCTTATACCAAGGACGAACTCATAGATCTAGTGTAACTAACACTTTGCTTATAAATCAAAAGTAACGTTATGGGAAAATTCTGGATATCGGGTCAAGCAGTCGCCTCTATTATATGTGTTTGTGCAAGTACTCCACTACTTTTAATATTTGAGGGTAGTACCACTTACAATATATATGCATTCAAACAAACTCCATTTTTATGATAAAGTCATACTCATTTCAAATATTGAAATAAAGTATCTCGTATATCTCATGTCCTGTGATATGTGTTGCCTTATCTCCCGGTTGTATATATTTCAGACACATTGTGGAATATCTGCAAGTCTGGTATCAATGTAAATGTTATATGTTCAAGACGATTAAATCGAACCTTTATATTATATACGTTTGAAGAAGGTTGTGCCAGTGTTATACATACTTCAAAATTGTACTTGCATTATTTGAAAAAAACCGTATCGTTTCAAATGGTTTTATCAGAACTCATATAATTTTCCCCATTTTGTAACAGTTTGATTTTACATAAGATATGATTTGAATGAACCAGTTGGAACCATAGTTAAGACGCCATCGTTTAAACCCGCACTGTCTAATTAAAGAAGCCTCAAACGTAAGCGGCAGATATCTGATATGACTCTACTTTAAATATAACACGTAAACGCCAAGGAATGGTCAGTGTTTCCGTTGGGGGGGGGAGACTAATAGAAGTATATGAATTACACGAGGAGCACTTAAGTCCCGTGGATATTTCAGAACCCCGGGTTAGCAATGTGTTCGGATTGTTTCTTGGTTTGTCAGAACCATACCCATTAAGTGGTATCCATCTATAAACTGTAGTACGGTGTCATCTGCTCACTTGTCCGTACATGTCGTCTGCTAATACACAAACCAAGCCGAGTACCATTCACACTCGACCGCTTTACAGGCGATACTCCGGCAGTTGACACAATCCCGATAAGCCCAGGTATAGACAGCGTGTTTTCTGTCGAGCTAACATGGCGAACATTCAGCTATATCTCTTCTTCCCAAGTCCACCATGTCGTTCTGTCCGCATGACAGCCAAGGCCCTTGGTGTACCACTCGAGTTGAAACAACTTAACCATGTGAACAAAGAACATCTTAGTCCAGAGTTTTTGAAGGTGAGAATTCGAGTTGACGTGTCTCTCTCTCTCTCTCTCTCTCTCTCTCTCTCTCTCTCTCTCTCTCTCTCTCTCTCTCTCTCTCTCTCTCTCTCTCTCTCTCTCTCTCTCTCTCTCTCTCTCTCTCTCTCTCTCTCTCTCTCTCTCTCTCTCACACACACGTTGCAATATAATTCGAAATCATACGATTATAAAAGTTGATGTCAATAGATAATTGACTAGCTATTAAACTATTAACATATCCTTGATATGTTACACAGTGAATAAACGAGTGATATATATATATATATATCTGATACACATTTCTTTATTTGTATTCAATACTAGCACGCGCGTAGATCCATCTAATTTTACATTCAAAGTAACAGTCGTTATCAATCACTGCACAGTAACGCTCACGTTATATCATACGCTCTATGTTTGAGAGTTTGCTGCTAAACGAAACTGTGTACAGCTGGGTCACGGGTCAATTTCTGGGACGGTCGCTCTAACCCAGGTAGCCTAGATCGGGTGTTTTGAATGAAGCGCTACAAAAGTAGGGCTGAGATCCGCACGTCATGAATTTTACTTCAGTAACGGGTTTTCACAAGATTATTACATGGCAACAAGCTGCCAGTTAGCAGTAAGGGGACTTCGTGTGCATAGTTGATTTTTAGCAATGCGACATCTTTTACATAGCCTACTCATGGACAGACAAACCAGAGACTGGCAGTATGAGCACCAGTTTGTTGTATGATGTCAAAGACAAATGTAATTCATTATCACCGTATGATTATCAATTTAGTTCCTTTTACATTATGCCTAGCAGCGCTAACTCCTATATTTACTACTTCACTGTAGTCTACTGTTAAAACCTAGTATGCAGCATCTGGCTGGTAGTTTCAAACAAACGTATCATATGTCAAACATCTAAGCAGTTCTTCAATGTTATGAGCAGTGCTGACATTACTTCGCACAAGTTCAGTGGTAGGGCGTTTAGCCTTGACCATGGACGTTGATAGGCCTTCCTGTTGGCAATCGGTAGATAACAGATGATATCTCGTTATGATCAGACAATTTGATTTTTTTAGAACCGTTGAAATGCTTTTATCAACAACGTGTACGCCTGCGTCACTTTCGGTTTTAGGCATTATGAATCTGGGGCTCTGCGATGTGAAGAAAATAGGGTTTAAAAAGGCACTAAGCCTAATTCGTCCATATATTACCTCAGCTTCCTTTTTGAACGTACATTATAACATATACATTTCAGACAAACCCGGATCACATTGTCCCAACAATTACAGATGGAGACTTCACTCTGTGGGAGAGGTAAGGTCAAACAACTGACTCTGGCCTTGGACACGTATAGGCAATGTTGGTAACATGATGGAAGGCATAATCAACAGAGGATTAGTTGGGCAGCCATAATCTCGACAATATCAATACAGTCACAGGGCACAAGGAAGTATCTGTGTAGACATTTCAATCATGTACAATAACAGTTAACTTGACCTCCACGACAAACAGGCCTTTATACTGCATATTATGTTCATCTGCATACATATGTTTACACACGCCTGTTAATCCCCATACCCTTGGCTCTTCTTCATAAGTGGATCTGTTCATTATAACACACATACACACGCACACACACCGATCACATTTGGAAGAGTTAGACACATTTTGACCATGCAGCCTTTCCTAAACCTATTTACGACCTTTATGGTTGTAAGCCTTTTCTTGTTCATATGACATCAATATCAACTGTGTCTTCATTTTATCATTTGTCTTTCCATCAGTACCATAAACATACTACTTTTTACGATGTTTTAAGTCTCACCTCTTTGTGATATTGTATCCACAGCCGCGCCATCATGCGCTACCTGGTGGGGAAGTTTGGGGGTGAGGACAACAGCCTGTACCCCCGGGACCTTCAGAAGAGGGCAGAGGTGGACCGACTCCTGGACTATGACCTGGGGGTCTTCTACAGAGCCATATTGGAGACTCTGGTCAGTAATATTACAATCATTATATAAAATACATTCCCTAACAGCCTGACCCCTGAGCTTTCTCTCATGACATAATATCCTTATTACGAAGAATATCCAATGCCAAGACTTTCGGTCAATACAGTATAATATTGCTTGATGCGTATTTCTTTTTCTGAAACAAAAATACGTTATTTGGTCGACCCTGTCAACGTGTTAAGTCCAGAACAACTCATTGTGATCTATGGACAAATAACTTAATGAAGCACCCCCTGTATTTTTGCAATGATGATAGGTTTTCAACACCTACATAAAACCGTTCGTGGTGACCACGGTCGGAAAACTTGAGTTTTATCTGGCCCGTATGATTCTTTGACTCATTCAAAATGTCCTTTTGCGTGTCTTACAATCCAAGGTTAATACCGAGTGTAACCTCCATGTGACTGTATGACAGCCAGCACTATCCTCCACATGCCCCCTGTCAGCCCCCTGATCCTCTGACGACCACCACCACACGACGACCAATCATGTCCCAGATATGCTCCAAAGGGTTAAGATCGGGACGCATCCAATCGTGAGATATGTCAGGGGGTCCTTAACTAAGTTCTATGTGTATACGTTAGTGTAGGTAAAAGCAGTACTCTGTCAAGCAGTCTACGATAAATCAGTTAGGATGTAAATAAATGTACAGTGCGAAATCAAAGTATTATCTTGCAGTAGGCAACTGCCTGTAGTTTAGCGTCTTACAATATACAAAAAAAGAAGAAGAAATATATATTTATTCGTGAAAATCCGTGCTTCCTAATTTCAGATGCTGCCAGTAAGAAACAGGAATACACCAACAAAAGAACAAGAAGAACAGGTCGTCAAGGCTTTCAACCGGATTGATACACTGCTCAAGGATAAGAAGTTCCTCACCGGAGATCACATCACTATCGCCGACTTTGCGATGGTCGTTGGGTTTGGATCCGAATTCCTCTTCCCAGGGGATATGTCTAACTACCCCAATGCCATGGCATGGTACAAGAGAATGCAAGAATTGCCGTACTACCAAGAAGTGAATCAGCCATTTTTTGACTATGTGGAAAATTTGAAGAAACTAGCAGGTCAAACGTCGTAAGAACACGATTATGCACAGATCCATTTAACTGCTGAAAAAGGCAAACTACATTTATAGTCAATTTGTTACTAAGCTATTAGAGAGGCTTAACACAGACGTGCAGTTAAAGAAACTGGGATTGACATAGTTATATTCAGGAATATACTATAACTTACTTCGTCGCACAGAGTCAAATACCTTTACAAAATCAACAAGGATAGATTTTCCTAAAATAATACTTGTGTACAATAAATTGTTAGAGTAAACATACTATTGTTATTACTTTACTGGTTGTATCCACCTTATGTCTCCAGAACAGACAGATGTTGATGACAGATTCAAATATGTGATGAACTCTTGGTTGCCATAATACTATAGAAAATTAAGTATCTTTTACGCTTGTATTCATCTGATGATGGTCGGCACACGTGAGACGTGCGTCATTCTAATGACCGGAAACCATACCGACGTTTCCCTATCTATCCGCCTTTTTCTAGGCTGGTAATTTCACATTCTAGCAAACCGTTCCTATTGAGTGGTGAAAGTGGCCTTTCTAACCTTTCCACTTTTGTTACAGCTTTGTTGATAGTTCGAAAGTCAACAAACCAACAAAACAACCAGCCAACCAATATTGGTTCCATACAACACAACACATATAAACTGACATAAAACCGAAAGTACACAATTTGGTAATTTTTAAAAGAATACCAACGTAAACATTTTGAAACCTGTGTTGATTGTGCCTTACATGTCACAATAATTAGTACACTGTACAAGCTCCCAAAACACCAGTTGCGACGTTGCCAGCCCCTTACTTATTATACAACTACTTTAACTTGTTCGTTATTAATATAACAATAAAACATACGAGTGGAATGAAAGATTGGCATCTTTATTACACCAGAGGAGAAACTAATACAAAGCCCTCATGCGGGGGGTTAATACCTCCAAACATTCCTCCAAACATCCTGAAATGTAAAATATACATATGGGGCCATAGTAATTAGCCATAGCCTCAAAACAGTAATACTACTGGGTGGGTGAGCTGGGGAAAATTATGAGCGCTGTACCGCCATGCGGGCGGCCATGCTTACTTGTCTAACGTGCAATGGAAGGGAGATAACTCCAGCTGGACTTATGACGATAGGAAATCTAAGGGAGGCAACTGTGCAAATATTTACTGCCTCACGTTAAAATATATTTTAAAACATTAAAATAACACATCATATTATAACATTTCTTCACTATCTCGATGGATTAATGTTCAGGAATTTCAGTCAGAGCTTCATTACTTTAAGCAGAAAATATATAAATAAAGCAAATCGATCGCATTCGCTAAAGCGACAGATTTGTTGCTTTTGCACCAAGAAATCACTTACAAGAATAGTAATGAACATTTTCGATAAGAATGGACTGTTTTAATCACAATATTTCAGTACCGTATAGTAAAATTTGATAAAATAAAAATCTTTTTTGAGTGATTTGTTACTTATATCACAAAGCACTTGTATATTCTTCATTGGATGTACAATTATTTCCAAACCACATTTATTCATTGCAATAATGGCAACAACAGACTTGTGCCTCGATAGTCCCACGATGTAGATTAATGATTGCCAGACATGCGGATCCACCATCTTGTCAGCTGATGGAACAGACATCGTCTTCTTTAATGTTGGGGATGATAAGTTGTTACGATTGCTTTGATTGTTCTGATTGTTTATTTGACCCTTGCAAGGAAAGTTAACCCATGGTTGCAAATTACTCCATAAAACCAGCTGAGTCTGCTTGGAAAAGACGTAACGTTTCACGAGAGATGATGAAGCTGGTGTCCTCTGGTAAGTCATGAGAAGATGTGTCATGTTCTTCTCCTGGCCAGGGCCAGTTCATTCCTAATAATGTTCTCATGTCCCTTATGAAGGAAACATTCTGTTTGACTTTGTTGCATGTCGAGACTCGTCGATCATCCACAATCATGTCATGCATGTCATCAACAAATTCCTTAAGGTTGGCAATTGATGATCGTTGACTAACATCGAGATGATAATGAGATGTTATTTCCGAGTTGCCATAAATGACAGGATGTGTAATACATAACAGAATCCATGGTAAATACTCGATAAGACTGGTTCTTGCAAAACTATAATCTCAGTAGGAACACCACAGGTGCAGACAAAGCTTCCACAGAGTACCGCAGCGGTTTTCCTTGTTACTATTTGATAATTCGGTGTCCATGTGTATAATACCAGGTGTGGTTAAAATATTCCTTACATGCTTAAGTCGTCCTAGCGTCTTCGGGAATTTCTAGACCTGCTCAGGAACCATGTTTACCCCCTGGTCTGCAGTATCAGTTTGCCTGTTAGACTATTTACTATTATGTTTTAGTTTGCATTAGAAAATTTTCAAAACATTTTAGAACTTAAAAAGCATGAATAATAAGTATGATTTCCAGATATATAAGCAAAGTCACTTTACTAGAAATCGCATATACTCCTTTTAGCTCCAACAGAACATTTTGTTTTAGTATTTAGTGTATTGAGAAATATATTGTATTGACTTTATTTCAGTTACGATAGGGTTTAGTTTTGTTTGGACAATCAGGTGCGTTGTCTTTCTATATTGCACATGTAAATAATGTAAGATCAAAGATGAATTTAGGATCAGACTGAATCATTCTTTGTATGTTTTTTTCTATTCAGATTTTCAAAATAACCATTTTTTTAAATCTGTTTTAGAGCATATCCATGGGTATAATGTTAGTATTTCTAATAATGGCCACACAAGAAATGGCGTGTATAGTATTTGCATAATTTCATAATGTATAAGCGTTACCCGCCGAAGAATAACCAGGAACAAGAGCATTATCCTAAAGTATTCTATGAAAATGTCTGTTGTACTCGTCTCCTTTCATCCGTCTGTCTGCACCGTCCAGTTTGCATCTAGTCCATGTCTTTTCAAGTCCTTTTCATTTAAATGAATATTTTGCATGAATACAGAGACTTCTATTTGGGTTTTTTAAACTTTACTCGCCATTGGTTTTCCCACTTTCAAGTATTAATAGCGACTTTAAACTAAGTTATTTATGAACACAAGAAAAAATAACCGTACCAACACCGATCCCTGAGGGACACCTGCCATCACAGGCGTAAACGTCTTTGCCTTTACCTAACGTGCTAAATATACATTTAATGGCTATAAATCGATGAACTGGTATACTCTATTTAATCCATCAGGAAACCATTTGGCCTAGTAATAGTACAGTCACTTGCACTGCCTTTTGTGCACAGGAATAACTGTTACTTTTCACATCTTTAGAAATATCGAACTTTGAAGTGACTGATTGAATACAATATGTCCATTGTTGTTGATTTAGAGAAAGTATTGCCAATTCCATCTGGGCTTTGGCTATGCTAACAACTGAGAGAAATATGTCTTGGAAACCCAAACGATTTCAGGGAAGAGGAATGTGGAATGAGGAGAACGAAAAATGAACCCGTCCTTCTCATATATATCTTTCTCATTTCAGAAGCTTCCTTTGAGGCGACAAAATAACGCGATGGCAAGGCAATGAAGGTCTTCAGGCAGACCAACATACTAGGCAAAGGAAAAGTTTTTCACCAGAAATGACCTCATCTTTGCCGATTTTGCGTCGATAGTTGGGTTTGCAGACGAAGTCATTTATCCCGGGATGTGGAATTGACCAAGTTGTAAAAAGCTATAAATAAGATGTTGACTATTAGTTATGTCATTGGATATAGCGGACAGGCAGTATCGTCTGTTCACTGGTCCGAAGGCGTCGTCTGCTAGCACATCTTGCTTGATTCGAAAGTGAGTAAGTGAGTGAGTTAATATTTAGCGTCACATCGGCAATATTGCAGCCATTTCATGACGAGAACAATTTACTTTATATCAATATTAACATCAATATATATAGAACCTAAATACCTGTCATCGAAGGACAGTAAATTACTACATTATCACAGCTCTTAATTTAAAACTAGTATGCTATCATACAAATAAATCACTAGAGACAACCGTACTATATAAACAAACGGGCTGTAGATCACAAGCAACTGAAGGTTGATCACCATCCTAGGGACTATGGGGACTTACAGTACTTTAGCTACCTGATGGACCCCAGCTTGATTTATATCAACTCTTCAGCAGCTGGCGATTGCAGTCAAAGTTAGCCAAAATTAAAATGACAAAAATAATACATTTAAAACATCTAGTAAATTTACATTGACTTTGCATGTTTCGGGACTTGCGTACCCTCTCAGGAGGACAATGATTTTACAATACTTAAATTGATTCGAAAGTGTTATCAAAGCAAGGACACATCTCATTGACTTTCCTCACTTAGATTACAGAGACACCTGCAAAGGGCTTTCCTATCGATTTGTTTGTACAGCATATAACCCGTGCAGTGACACACAGATTGCACAATCGTGAGCAATATCTCAATGACTTTCCTCACTTAGATTGCAGAGAAACATGCAATGGGCTTTCCTATCGATTTGTTTGCACTGTATATAACCTGTGCAGTGACACACAGATTGCACAATCGTGAGCCTGCTCAGATATAGACGACGTGTTTTGTGTGGAACGTGGTCTAAATAACATGGCGAACATTCAGGTATATCACTTCATCGGAAGTCCGCCAAGTCAAGCTGTCATCATGACAGCTAAGACTCTTGGTGTACCACTGGAGTTGAAACGACTCGACTTTATGAAGAAAGAACATCTTCAGCCAGAGTTTACAAAGGTGATTGAGTATCTTACAGACACCAGTGTTAGAAAAGGTCCATTGCAGCCGACTGTTGATGGTACGGTGACATTAGTCGGGCTGACTTATTCGTGTAATACAGCTGAAATATCATTACTGATTAGTATTCGTATAGCATCTTTTGCTCCAGGCCGAACGCCGTATAACTTCCGCGCCATCTAACTCAAATAATGTTGCATGCATCAAATATGTTGTTAGATTGACCATCGTAACATGGAAATTCTATGCTTTGAAATAGATTCGTGCCATACATGTGGATTCTTGTCCTTCACATACAGCCTCACGTGCTGATTTGGGCATAGACATTAAACATACTAAACTGAACTTTATGGATGAGTAATGCATACCGTGATTAGTGGAATCGTATTGTCAGGAAATATTTGTCGAAGATCTAAACATCAACACAGCACAAGGCTCTTTTAATTTTCATTTGGAAAAATTTGCCCTTAATTCTGCCATTTATGCAAACCTTCATCCTGTTCATACAAAACTGTAGCATGGCAAGTACTTTTCTCTTGAACAAATATACCTTCATCTGATAGCTTGGTAATTAACTTGGATCACGTGTATAATTACAGACATGTTTTAAAGTCTGCATGTAAATAGGGCTTTTAACATTAGCATCATGGCACTCATTATGTTAAAGTCAATGGAACGTCGTTACCTTGAAACCATTAATTCGAAAAGTTGATTACAAAAGGTGTATTTATAACACTAGTACCTTCTCATTGTCTTCTTATTGCTCGAGTCTGCCTGTTAAATACCCACTCTATGCCCACATTTCGAAGTGGCGTCCCACATTCGAAAACATCCGACCTTCAAAGAAATTATTTGCCAGAAGTCGGAAAGACATGCGAGTACTACGGCAGTTCTGATATATCTTAGAACACAGTCGTATTGCAGGAAAAAGTTCAGAGTACTATGATGCGTGGTGCAGAAGTGTGAACCCAGATAACCCGGGTTTATAGGTCAGAATGACATTAGTTTAGCTCATGAATCTAGTTCATATGAAACTATGTACGAAGATAACGGGTTCAGTAACAAAGTTGACTTCCCGTTGTCTATTTGTCACAAAACAGGTGAACATGTGATATCCTCACAAAGTTCATGGCCATTTTTATTATCTAAGATATGTTGTATATTAGTATCTATGGTGATCCATGTGATCTCTGATATGTATTGTATTCGATAAATACAGATTTAATCTGGGAGAGTGTGTTGCAACAACGGAATATTAACCGCTGATTCACGCTATGGGTGGCATATGTCCACAGTCGCTCTCACCCACGTTGCCTAGATTAATTGTTTTGAATGAAGCACTACAATACTGGCACAAGGATGAGCACTTCATGAACTCTACTTCAGTAATAAGTGCTTACAGGATTGTGACATAGTAACTAGCTACTTTGTGTTCACGTAGGTGATCTTTTCACCGAAATCAATGTAACAACTTTCAAATACTCTATTCCACGACAGAGGATGTTAGTACGAGCACACTGTCGCTGTATAATGATACACGTGATAAGATATATCATTCATTGGTCCTAGTTAACATGTTTTAGATTTTATCACTAGTTTTAAATGGATATCTGTGATAAACTAGTAGTTTTACTGTTCTTCGTCAACAGGTTTTATTTTATTTTATTCATATATGATATAATCATTAATTGTTCTCGTTACGATATGGCTGAAATATTGCCGATGTGACGCTAAATATTAACTCACTCAGTCACTCACTCATTCATTGGTCAGTTCATCAGTCATCATGGCAACTACGAGTGAGTGTAAACATCATTGAAGATAAACAGCAGTGTTTTGGCTGAATGTGGAAGTGATGGACGTAATAAAATGTTTACCTCAATTAAATGTCCGTCAAGACCTTAAAACATTAAGGCAGGGCGTTTACCCAAGGCTTACCTGTTATTATTCGGTTAGGGGAGAGTTTAAATTTCAAATTGAGATAAGTTTCTTTGTGATCTTTGATTATTTGCTGATGCGTAAAATCTCTATCATTTTTTTTCTAATGTCATATTTCAGCACTCACAACTTTAAATGCTCTGTGACGTCTTAATTACTCAATTAAGTATAATGTATATTTTAGATAAACCCGGATCAAACCGTCCCAACAATGATAGATGAGGACTTCATACTGTGGGAGAGGTAAGCTTTCATCCTCGACGTCAAATAAATCGAAATCAATATTGATAAGCCAAAACTGACCCCCCTAAGGTCCTAAACTTACTTTCACTTAATGAATACAAAATCAATCACTAAGCACAGATTCATGTTCATGTAACACCATTCATCGTCAGCAATCACATTCTTGAACTATTTCTAAAATTGACACAATGCCACTTGGTGTCCCCATACTATGTTCTGTGATCAGGATCATGAGATGACTGTTCTATATCACGTACTAGTTGTAGTCTACTTAAAAAGAGAACTGATCATGTGTCAATCACAGGATTGTCTGACCCAGACCCGGTTATATACCACATAGCTTATTTGGTATGACGTTACTTGCAAAACTCACTAAGTTATAGTTTGTAGCAGGTTGTTCTGAATATCGTGATTCATGTTTGAATAAAGATAAAGTTATTGTCAACAATGGAGAATATTTCAACACCAAGTTGGAAGCAGTTTGGTGAGTTCTGGAAGCGAGACGTAATGGAGTTTGCATCATAAGTTAGGAGTTGCTGGCGATTCCGAACATTTGAAAATACGTTTTGTTTAAAATTTGTTTGAAAATTCATAGCTTCAATTCCCTTCAGTTGTTTTTATTTTCATTCCCAGTGTATCACATTCTAACAACTATCATGAACCAAATATACCTCGTCTATGTTATTCACGAAGGTCGTTACTTTGACATCGGATGTATCGTCAGTTTCTTAAGTTGATATTCATTAAGTACCACACACATTTTATTCTGTGGGATATTGCAACTCTCACCACTTGACACTATTGTATTGGCAGCCGAACTATCATGCGTTACCTGGTGGGGAAGTTTGGGGGTGAAGACAACAGTCTGTACCCCCGGGACCTCCAGAAGAGAGCGGAAGTGGACCGACTCCTGGACTATGACCTGGGGGTCTTCTACAAAACCTTGATTGAAGGTGTGGTAAGTACACAAACAATTTTGTTTTTGTTCTTTTCTTTTGCCATGGTGGAAGATGCGGTTAGTAACCGTGTAATGTTGCTCGGTTAAATAATTTGCAGTATCTCTGTTGAGATGTTTGTGAACAAATTTCGATCTAGCATTAGGCGATAACCCAATACTTTGGATTTACAAATTATTAAATATTTTGGAGAAGATAACTATATAAACACCTATTGAGTATTGTGTTACTATGATCCCCTATTTCAGTGGCTGCCATTCAAAGACAGAACTCCGAAGACAAAAGAACAAGAAGAGAAAGTCACGAAGGTCCTCTCACGATTTGATACACTACTCAAGGATAAGAAGTTCCTGACCGGAGATAATCTCACCATTGCCGACTTTTCGATGGTTGTTGGCTTTATAGTCGAGTTAGTCTATGAAGGCGATAAGTCAAAGTTCCCCAATGCTATGGCGTGGTACAAGAGAATGCAGGAAGAAACATGCTTCAAAGAAACGTATGACACAATCAAGGACTTTGTGGAAATGATGAAGAAGCAACACGCTGAAATGCCATAACGCAGATGTTCAGGTCTTATGCAAGGATCGCAACTGCATTGTTGTCACAACGCCAGGTGTTGTAACTAGCTGTAGGTTCACATAATCTTCATCGCTATTTTGCCAAGGGAATCTGCCAAGTAATATTTCGGGGTACATACTGGCTGTAAGGTTGTATCAATTATCATTTTAAAAAGTATGAAAAAAAACCGTAATACAGTATCTTATACAATGTAAGTGATGCACGTTTATGTGTTTTTTATCTTTCTGTTGCATGATATGACCCAGTATTATATCTTTCCAGGTCTTGACTGTCTAAGTAAACTTAGGCTCAGTATTATTCGTTACACTGCTATACTGAGTCTAAAAGGTTACCTGACGCGACCTTCCACAAGGTTTTGTTAGACTCAGTATAGCAGTGTAACGAATAATACTAAACGTAAGTTTACTTAGACTGCAGGTCTTGACAACTGAACAGTTATCTTTGCCTTTGCATGTGTTTGTGACGGGTGACATTGAGGGGGCAGAGTATACTCGCCTGGTATCATCACAAATTGATAATGATTCATTCTAATGAAGAAGTCGAAATCGTTCAGTGGACGTGACTTTTAGCACTGATTTCCTATTATGATGGACCGTTTTTTCGCCTCTTCTTTTGGCAACTACCTGGAGGACTAGGTCTTGTACTAGCTACCCAAAGGTTATATACAATGCCGTCCGGTAATTCCGCGCACCTAAGCACATCGATCACAACACGGCAACTAACGTTTCTTATTCTTTGTGGTTTACGTGACTAAACATGCTATATGACTATATGATTCTAACGTTGCATTATGCCATACGGTTGTCCTTACCGGCGTTCTGACGACATCGCTTGCTGTCCGGTAATTCTGCGCAGCAACTGATGCGCATAACATCCAGCTGGAGATCCGAAGTATGGAAGCGTATTAGGGCCAGATTATTTTCAAAAATCACTTCATCAATGTAAGGAAGAGTGTTTCATATTAAATCCAGTTATGAATAATGAAGAAAAAGATTTAAAAGTCTGTCTGAAGAAAACGAATTTTCATAAAACTGTCAAAATGAAATGGCGTTTGGGATATAATTACATAACAAATGGGTGTTGATAACGTTTTTTTGGGCATAATTATACTGGCACGCTTTCATTTGAATAATCAATAAATGAACGTCCAATCAATGGGACCTCCTTGCCCCAAGAGTCACGCACAATCACTACATAGCCTTAATATAATAATGCCACATACATACACCTGAACTCCATGTCGCACGGGCATGCTCTAAGCGCATACAACATAGTGGACAGTATTACCCCGGATAAGGACTCTCCAGCGTTGCTTAAATGGAACTGAACCTGAGCTTTATGCACAGGAACACACACCACACCACCACCTTCCTCCAATTGAATACATTTAGCATACATTTAGTGAAGGACAACTATTCACGATAAAGCATTTGCAACATAAAACATGTTGTTAAAGTGACCATTGTTCCATGGAAATGCTTTGCTTCATGTCCATTGGAAGAATGGCGTGGAGCTAATTTAAAAGGATTAAGTTCTTTTGTACAATTTCAAATTTGTGCGTATATGATACCTCCTACAGTCCATCGACGGTCATTAGGAACAACAAACGGATGTTTTGAATACAGTTTGTATACAGGTCTTGAACTAACCACGTTAATAGAATAATGGATGGGATTATATTGCCAAGAGGTTTTTGTAAAAGACTCCGATATGTTTCAACTTTCCAAGTGAAGACATTTGTCCTACTCGATGTGTGGAGGTGAACAGAGATGTTGCAAGAACGTGATGATTGTGCGACTCATGACATCCACCCCAAACCAAACATTCAACACGTTAATACTGCATTATTTGCATGGCAGTATATTATCTTATGAGCAAAAATGTTTTTGTGCGCCAGTAAATATATGCGCGCGCGTGTGCGAATTTGTGTGTGTGTTTGTGTGTGAAACAATCAATAATTTAATGTGACTACTGCTGTAAATATACTACGTACACATTACCAGAAAACCATATCAAAGCGTGTTGTCTTGAACCCCACTAACTCCAAATATGAATTAAGACGATGTCCTTCACTACCAGGACATTGGCTGAAATGTCTAGTTGGGGCACCTTGCTAGTATTTGACCATTGATAAAAGGTCCAATGCACGTCTCACGCCCGGATTTCGAATTGAGGACCCACGTTTGACTGAAAATCGGAGTCATCCTGAGATTACATAAATATTTGCTTGCAGCGAAAAATACATGACGACTGCAAATGCAGATCTGTTTTGTCGCGTGAGCGGGCAACTCATTGTTAACTACCTGAGGGAAGTTGACCTTTATCATAAATTGTAGTTATGTAAAGTGAATAACGAAGTGCTTGCGTTCGAATTTGGTGCTATAACAATGTTAATAATATATATGCTTTTGAATAACAACTCATTTGGACTTTGAACTTAAAACGTTTATTAATTCACACTTGATCCCGTCACTATATCGCTGGAATAATGCCGATGTGACTTAAAACCCAACTCAACATCAACATGTCAGCAATTTATATGTCGTATACTGGGATATACTGCAAGGTAATATGATGGGAAATACATATAAGTGTTTGTGATAGCTGGGACATTGCTTCGTTAAACAACAAACAAACAAACCAATGTGACAGCGAGGTCGCGCGCTGATGAGTCATCAGTCTGATAACTTGACCTGTTTGCACATGGCGCATGGCGTGGGCTGTTGGGTCGGGATGACATTAGCTGTGCCTATGAAAACAGTTTATATCAAACACTGTTCAAATATAACTGGTTCAGTATTAGCGCCCATATGCAGAAGACCCTTTATCAGCAATAGGTGATTTAGTGACACGTGTCCTTGATGTTTTGTTCAGCTTATGAACAGTTTTGTGATGATTTCTGTTTTGTTTTGTTTTTCCTGGCTTAAACTGAACTGCAAAACCCATACCGTGACGTCATCGTAATTGCGTAATGCTTAAAAAACATTTAAACCCAATAGATTTAGTCACTCAATCAATTTAATATGTATTGTAACATTTCAGATATACCCGTATAAAACTGCCCCAACAACTATTGATGTAGGGAGAGGTGCGGTCACACCCCTGAAGTGCACTGCCAGAGTCAAGGCAATATACTAGATTTATGGTCACCCATAGCGCCTGAAACAAATATTCACTCATTGAAATGACATTTAGGACCAAACACTAACTCAATAGTCTACCATACGCATAATTTAGAACGACTGAGACATATATTTACATCCTGCCATTTGAAAGTGTTTTTCAACAGATCCATCACATAACGATTTTATGATTAAAATGTAATGAATTGTACAAACTTTATTTTGTATTGAAAGGATCAAATCACTACATCCTTTTGATCACGTACCTGAGCATATTTAGAAACTTTGAATTCTGTGATGAGAAAATGCCATTTTGTTGCATATGTTGTAATACTGTTGGAATAGTACATCGACTGTCCTTTCGGCAGATAATGGTTATTTGGACACACAGGTAGTGAAGTGATTTTTGCATTATTTCTTAATGGTTGAATTGCCCGTGCAAACAAACAGGAACACAAAGAATGTTTTAACTTCTGTATCCGCCTCCTTCATCCAGACGTCCCTGTCTGTCTGTCTGCTTGTTTATCTGTCTGTACAGTCCAATAACAACGAAATGGCTTCTTTCTCAACTACTGAACATTTGTAGGAATATTGTGCACGAATATAGAGGTTTCTGACATGCATAAGGTTTTTAATTGAACTGTGTCTTTTTAGTTTTGATTAAACTTGTCATTGATTTCCCCCCTTTGAAATTATTTCTAAATCAACATTTACAGGGGTTGCTGTCTGAACAGGTTCTTCAGTTATTGCGTTTGGTAACGTATCTTTTGCGAAAGGTATATTATCAATTATGTCATATATCATTTATGAATAGAAGAAATAATGACAGCCAAAACAGCGATCCATCAAGTGGTATTCAATATAATCAGTCTGGGTAAAATCCAATTACATTTTGGTAACCACGCTGTTATCGCTGGAGGCGTTCAATGCCTATTTCTGCACATTTAAAAAAAATAAATTTCACGTACATTCACGTACACTGCCCATTTGGGGACAGGTATAGGTGAAGAATTTTTCCACATCTATTGAAATATGGAACTTTGAAGTGACTTATTAAAAGCTCATTTAGGTATTGCATTACGCAGCTGTTATTATAGGGAAAGTATTGTCCATTCCATCTGGGTCATTGTCTGTGTTTCCAAAAATGAGAGAGGCATGTCTTGGACAAAAGAGTGAGGTAGTGTTACACTGATACGATATCGTGTAATTTGTCGGTGTGTGGTCCTGTGCGCAGAACTCAGGTCACAATCAGCTGAGGTGATTATAAGCAACGTTGGGCGTGGAGTGTCCTTGGGTGGGTGACCGTGTTTGGCAGCTTGAGTCCTGAGAGTTTCTAGGACTTCGTTCCAGTCCCATAACGAAGCACATGTGATAGATGTGGTCTCACCTTAGGCAAGTGAGTAATTTGGGTACCTGGTATATAGGATGGCAGTCTAAATTTGAACCTTGAGGACCTGACAGGCGACCTGTTGTGTTCTCTTCAGGGAGTGTTCTGCCCTCATTTACCAGGGATAATATGTCAGCGCTTTTAGCAAGCATTGTGCATGGATAAATGCGCAATATAAACATACTATTATTATCATCATAATAATGCAATTGCGTCACAATCAAATCACATTCTCTAATTATAGCAACAGGCAAGGGAGTGAGTGAGTTTACTTTTACGCCACACTCACCAATATTACAGCTATATGGCGGCGGTCTGTAAATAATCGAGTCTGGACCAGACAATCCAGTGATCAACAGCATGAGCATCGACCTGCGCAATTGAGAACCGATGACATGTGTCAACCAAGCCAGCGAGCCTGACCACCCGATCCCGGTAGTCGCCTCTTACGACAAGGGCAAGGGAGTGAGTGAGTTAAAATTTATAGTCACATTGGCAATATTTCAGCCATATCGTGACTAAATCATGTTATAGATTGACAATGATTAAAAGTAAATTATAGACACCTGTCAACTAAGGACAGTAAACAACTAGATTATCACAGATATTAATTTAAAACTAGTAATTTAATCTAAAATAACATAACTATGCATGACGATACAATATATAATTCAAGCTATAGATCACCAACAACTGAAGGTAGATCACCATACTAGGGGCCATGGGGACTTACAGTACCTTTGCTTCCTGCATGGATCAGCAACAGGCAAGGATACTACAGCTACCCCTGGTACCCCAGATACTTTTCTGTATACATACACCGTAGCCAAAATCAGAATACTGAATTTACCCTAAGACGAGTTCATTCCGCTTCGCGCAGAACCGGCTTCTTGAATGACTACGTATACGTCACTTCCTGGATATGTCAAAACGCGGTAAAATTAAACATGTAAGTTGGGAAAGCTTCCAGAATATCTTCAAAACTTAGAGAGCTGTTAGTAAAAGATCGTGTAGTGAGGGTGATCGTGTAGTGATGGTGAATATTTTCTAGTTTGCCAGAGTACACGTTAATCATCAGTTCAAACAAAATATACTGTTTAATACACCAAGCATAAATGTCCTCTCACATATATATAAGATCATCCACCCATCCATACAATGTTCTCAGGAAACGTGGTTATGTTTTCCATAGGAGTACTTAATTTTGTACAAAAGTATGTATTTGTTTCATGATTATACTGAAGTCAAAATGTTTCTGTTTCAGATGAAGTGTATTGATCCCTATAATTATTGTTTATTGAAGTACAAGTTGTAAAGATATTTCTCATCCACTCCTCAGAACTGAATAGCTCTCATGGTCGTTTGCAGTTTTCCATAAACAAATGTCAACTTCAGAAAGTCCCTACGTATAAAGGTAGTGTGTGTTTGGCAAGAGTTCCACAACACAGCAGAAACATTATAAAACACCCATGTCTGCGACAGTAGTACCAATGTTAACTTAACAAATACCCGAATATTAAATATGATGTGATCTTAATAAAACACCTATGAGTGTTCACATCATCTGCTGTATGTATAGAGTAATCAAAGAATACAGGTTTGAAGAGCAATATATTTTGTTGCACAGTTTCCGTCTCTGTAACACAGAGACAGTGACTTGTGAAAGTTGAAGGTGTCTGGTACGAGTCAACAAAGTCGTCTCCAGTACTCTTCTATGAGATCAATTCGACTGCGTTATAACAGAATAACGCGCTTACACAGTGAGGAACACCAATAAAGCATAAAACTTTATGGATAACAACTTCTTGTTTTTTGCATAGTGAGTGAGTATGTTTAGTTTTACGCCGCTGTTAGCAATATTCAATCAATATCACGGCGGGGGACATGGGTTTCACACCTTGTATCCATGTAGGGATTCGAACCCGGGTCTTCAGTGTGATGAGCGAACGCTTTAACCACTACTCTACTCACTGCTCCGTTTTTTGGCATTGAGCGACGTTTCGGTGTAGATTCTTGAACCGTTCAGAGCTCACTTTTAGCATGAAAACGGTGTAAGAATCCACGCCGAAACATCGCTCTGTGCAATAAACAAGTTAGTAACCAGTATGTCGTATGTTTTATTATTGACTCACCATCTTCTAGAATGCCGATCAAACAATTAGTGACGAAACTGATGACAAGGCCGTGAGGGCTTTGTGCGGATTGACATGTTGGTGAAAGAAAGTTTTTGACTTGACATAACCTCACGTTTGTGGAGTTTAGGGTGATAGTTGGGTTCACGGACATGTGGAATTGACTCAATGTTAGTTAATGTCAAAAGATAGAGAGCAGAAAGTGTCGTCTGCCCAACGGCCGAAGGTGTCGTCTGCTAGCACAAATTGTTCTTATTGAAGTGTCTTCCACAGCAACGACAGAACCTCAAGCATTCATTCACCTGATGAAGGAGTAAGCATATACTCGGAAACGTTGTGTTCCTCGTAATGAAGAAGCTGATATTCATAAAACTCTCTTTGTTATGTGTACCACTTCTAAACACCATTAAAGACCTGAAGGACAGAACTCATGGGAAATCCTCGCCTAAAGCGCTAGCGCATATCCCCTGTTTGTACAATAAACAGCCCACGCGGTGACCCACTTCACAGTGCTGCTCAGATACAGACGACGCGTCTCGTATGGAGCTTGGCCTCAGCTAACATGGCGAACATTCAGGTATATTACTTCATGGGAAGCCCGCCATGTCGCGCAGTCTTCATGACAGCTAAGGCTCTTGGTGTACCACTTGAGTTGAAAGAACTCGGCTACTTCAAAAAGATCATCTTCAGCCAGAGTATACAAAGGTGAGTGAATGCGCCACAGGCACCAGGCTAGTGTCCCCGGGCCGTCTCTTAGTGTCCCCGGGCCGTTAGCATAAGAAAGTGGTAAGTTAATGTTAATGTATGGCACTTACGACTATCTTAACGCTAAGAGAGCTTCGAAAATCTAGGCCCAGAAGTCCATCACTGGCATCAGTGGATCAACAACACTTTATTCGGCGTCTAAATGTGTAATAATATAAATGCAGCAACGGTCAGGCAGCATCCGCAAGGCGACAGTCAGTTCACAATGCCTAGTCTTAAAACAGGAATTTATCGTATAAACTACCGACTGTCAGGCAGCCCTATATTACGGTACATGTATGGTCGGCCCGCAGTATTCAGCAATGTTAAACCTCCGAGACCGACCGGCCATACCCTAAATTTAATTACACGCTGCTGTTATTTCATTTATATTGACAACACTCTGAAGATTTGGAGTGAGTGAGTTGGGTTTTACACCGCTTTTAGCAATATTCCAGAAATATTAATGCGGAGAACACCAGAACAGGGCTTCACACATTATACCCATGTGGGGAATCGAACCCGGGCCTTAGGCGTGACGAGCTACTAGGCTACCCTTGATACACCATCAAATGTGTTGTCACAGCGACCATTGAAAAACATGATAATGCTATACTTTGAAATAGATTCGTCCACTGAACCGTAAATTTTGTTTGTTTAAAGACATTAGCACGAACTGACCTAAAATCATTCCACTATCAAAATTTATGACGGCACATACGTAATCGGACTGCGACTGCGAAGTCGAGAAATGGTAAATCATTCGCCTGACAGCTGACCTGTTTGTGGTACGGCAGCCTGGCCAAGATAACCCAGATTTATGGGTCAGGATGCCGATAGTTTTGCCAATGAAATCAGTTCATATAAAATTATGTGCGAAGATAACGGTTTAAGAACTGTGCTAACCTCCCGTAGTCTATATGTGAGCAACAAGTAGACGAATGATAAGTGTCCTTCGTATTCCACACAGCTTGTAATCTCTGATAATTCCAGTGAACTAGCAGCGTTTCAGCTTAACGTGGAAGCGATGGAAGTCCTACAATGTTTATCCACTTTCTTTGTACAGTACAGATTCTAGTACTTTTGTTGGGTTGAGTCCCATCCGGGATTCGAACCCAAACCCTCAGAGTCAGGCACCTAATCACCAGCACACAAAGTCAGACGCCAGCACACAAAGTCAGACGCCTAGACCGCTCAGCCGACGCGGCTTCCACAAATATAATATAACAAATGTTACATTTGACTACTTTCTAAATGGCATTGTGTATTTCATAGCTTTCGGCCGTGGGAGCCGTGCCAATAAACACTTATCAGAGGGGTACAGTCCGCAGTCTAGACTACCAGTTGTCCGACTTCCATTTTGTGGAAGCCGCGGTGGCTGAGCGGTCTAGGCGTCTGAGTTTGTGTGCTGGCGATTAGGTGCCTGACTCTGAGGGTGTGGGTACGAATCCCGGATGGGACTCAACCCCCCAAAAAGTACTAGAATCTGTACTTTACAAAGAAAGTTTAATCCCAAATAACAAATGTTACATTTGACCACTTTCTAAATGTCATTGTGTATTTCAAATGTTTATCCACAAACTTGGGAGCACTCTTCAATGTAGAGGGGCGGTGGGGTAGCCTAGTGGGTACAATGTGTGAAGCCCATTTCTGGTGTATCCCTCCGTGATAATGCTGGACTATTGCTGAAAGCGGCGTAATACTTAACTCACTCACTCTTCAATGTAGATGATGAGAGGTAAACTCCAAAAGTTCAGCGGAAGGGCGTTTACCCCAAGGCCTCCCTGTTATCATTCAGTTAGGGCAGGGTTTGAATTTTATATTTAGTCTTTTTATGATCTTTAATTCTTTCTATCAAATGACCTGTTTTCACCACTACTTGTTTTAAATGTTCGTTCAGAATGTCCAGAGTGTTTGCGTCGCAGAATCAAATGCAAGGAAAATAGCGAAAGGTCACTGTGATGGTTTAACGTTTTGATTATTCACTCAATCTGATAAACTGTATGTTTCAGATAAACCCGGATCAAATCGTCCCAACAATGATAGACGGAGACTTCATACTGGGGGAGAGGTAAGATCTTATGATCGATGTCAAGGTAACTTTGCGTCCACCTATCTCCTGTAACAATTAAGCACTGACTAAAGTTAAAATTAAAAGGAATCGAAAAAAAATTATCATTACAAATGGAACACTCGGGCTAAGTAATGCAGTCTTAACGATTTCTGAAACAGTTACATACTTCAATCGATCCGGCACATAGAAATGTATGTGGTCACCATGCAGGTCATCATGAATATTGTTAGGTATCAATTCTCATGTTCAAACACAATGTTAATCTGAATGAACCTACAATGACACACCAAAATACAGTGGCAGTACAAATTCAATGTTTATAAAATGCAACGGCAATTAAATACATAAGCAGTGATATTGACAATAAGAGACAATGAAGGTAATATGTACCTTGCTACAACACTGATGCCCAGCTCGTCTTCTTTGCATGGATGACAAAGGAGACGCCAATTTAACAGAACAAGTTCTGCTTGTCAAGTTGGTAGCAGGTTATTCACTATATACTGGTCCATATTTGAAAAACTATTATTGTCAACATGGAAATTATATCACCAACAGGTTGTTAGCATTGTTATAAGTTTAGGAAGCCAGATATAGTGGAGTTTGCATTATAATGTCCACGTTCTACAACACCTCCCTAAAAAATCAATAACAGGTGTAAAACCAGTCCATATAGGAATTGCTGATGATTCTTGAACTTTGTGGGAGATGCTGTTACTTTATGATCGGTGTGGGAGCTCTCCGCGGGTAGCGAAGATGCATATTAAGACGACTCTATACTTTTAATTCCACAGCCGAGCTATCATGCGCTACCTGGTGGGGAAGTTTGGGGGTGAGGACAACAGCCTATACCCCCGGGACCTCCAGAAGAGGGCGGAGGTGGACCGTCTACTGGACTATGATCTGGGGGTCTTCTTCAGAGTCATTTTGGAGGATCTGGTAAGTACACAAGCATCGTTACATTGTTCGTGTTGAACAGGCTGTATTCATGCAATATTTCTGAGTCAAATAATGTGTCATAGCTTTATGGGAAAGAAAGTGTTCAAACTGCCATCTAGTATTAAACGATAACTAATAGCTCTGCTTCTTTAAATGACTGAGCATTTGTGAGAAGATAAATCTATGATCATTCACCGAGTATATTGTTTGGAAAATCCCCCATTCACGCGTTCAGTACTATGAGTTCCTATTTCAGTGGCTGCCATTCAGAGACAGAACTCCGAAGACAAAAGAACATGAAGAGAAAATCATCAAGGTTTTCACACGGATTGATACACTGCTCAAGGATAAGAAGTTCCTGACCGGAGATAACATCACTATTGCCGACTTTTCGATAGTGGCTGCCTTTACAACCGAGCTAGTCTATGAAGGGGATATGTCCAAGTACCCAAATGCCATAGCATGGTACAAGAGAATGCAGGAATTACCATACTTCAAAGAAGTGAATGAGAACTTTTATGAATGGGTGACCAAAGTGAAGACGCTTCACGCTGAAAAGTCATAAAGTATGAAAATATAGGTCCGAGTTGCAATGCTTTTGCAAACACCTGATGTTATGATTTTCAGTATTGCATTCACATTATTTCACCGTCATATTGCCAGTATATTCTGATTTGGAAATTTGTTATTGACGTTTTTTGACCACATACCATGAGTAATGTCAGATTTGAAAGTTATTATATCAAAATACGAAAAACGTAATAAATTATCTCATGCAATGTAACTGATGCACCGTTACAGTTACTTCATATTTCCGTCATTTGGTATGACCCGGTGCTATATGTTCCCATATCTTGCCTTTGCGTGCATTTGCCATTGGTTGGGCACCGTTACCTGGCATCATCACGACTGGATAGAGATTCATTAACACATTCTCAGGAAGAACTTGGAATCATGCAGCTGCCATTCCCAATGATAATGGAAAGGAATCGGCCTCTTCTATTTTCTACTCTCTGGAACAACCTTTCTTGTACTAACTATGCAAAACAGGATTTTTTGTATCGTGAATTTATCAAAATGGTCAATGTCATATATCTAAAAAAATACACATGAATGTTTGGGATTTAATTCCATAAAGAAGGGGTGCTCATAACCTTTTTTCAGGTAATATGTTTATTGTATGTCTCAATTCATTTATCAATAAATAATCACAATTATACTCATGAACTTTTTATGATTGTCAATACAGAATGCCTTTTAGAAAGTGATCAAAACTAACAAATCTTATGTTTGGAATCAAACTTTCTTAGTACGGTACAAATTCAAGTAGTTTAACGGGCTAAGTTTCGTCCAAATCGCCCACACAAAGCCAGCGATCTAACCCCCTTTATAACAGTACGGTGTCTTCTTAGTGGCTAGGGGCGGTGGGGTAGCCTAGTGGTTAGCGTTGACTCGTCACGCCCAAGACCCGGGTTCGAATCCCCACATGGGTACAATGTGTGCAGCCCATTTCTGGTGTCGTTTCCGTGATGTTGCAGGAATATTGCTAAAAGCGGCGTAAAACCAAACTCAGTCAGTCAGTCTTTGTGGCTAATGTTTAGAATGATCCGAGCTCGAGTACACCAGCCCAGTCATGTCCCGCAGGTGTCGGTTAGTGAGTGAGTGAGTTTAGTCTTACGCAGTAGTCCAGCGATATGGCGACGGTCTGTAAATAATCGAGTCTGGACCAAAACATCCTGTGATCGAAAACATGAGTACGATTTACGGAACTGGGATACGATGACATGTGTCAACCAAGTCAACGAGCCTGACCACCCGATCCCGGGTTACTTTAGATCAATTCTAACCCGGATCTTCAAGGGTGGGTGTCGGTTAGGGGTGCAGGTCGTTGATTGTACTGATTGAAACATACATAAATCAAACATGAATTTGTGTAACTAATGTTTCGACCCATGTTGTGTTGATATAGCAAACACAGTCAACCATTCATACAACTTTCTCTTCTTTTTGACTTTGACGCTCAGTGAAATCTGTTTTAGAAAATTGTTCATTCTTGGGTTTGGGGTTATATCATCTTTTGTTTTGTGTAATGTGAAACCGTATCCACTGACACTGATTGGGTGTAGAGATATATTTGTAGTTATATCCTTTTTACCCTCTTTAATTGCCGTTTAATAGTTTCTTTACCTTTAACAATTTGCTGCTCGTAAAGTACACTCATTGGAGTTATAAGTCTGGAAAACCAACGGTTTTACAGGCTCTTTTACCATTTCTCTTTGGTTTATATTTTCTTCAGTGAAGAGATAAGTTGCCGAACAACATGATGTGGAGTGAGTTTAGTTTTACGCCGCACTCGGCAATATTCCAGCTCTATGGAGGCGGTCAGTAAATAATCGAATCTGGACCAGACGATCCAGTGATCAAGAATATGAGCATCGATCTATGCAATTGGGATACGATGACGTGTCAATTAAGTCAGCGAGCATGACCACCCGATCCGTTAGTCACCTCTTACAACAAGCATGGGTTACTGAAGATCAATGCTAACCCGGATATTCACGGGTCTCATTAGTGCAAATGATAAACAGTACCGGAGAGATTACACAACCCTGCAGTCTAAATGGAAGTTTGTGGGAGATTGGAAGTAACGGTGGAGCGAGTGTCATTGACAGTGGCAAACGGATCCTGTCAATCACAAAGGATTGTATACGTTCACAACATTGAGGCCCTGAAATATTAGCTGACACGCAAACTCTAGCTGACACACCAATCTCCCCTCGCTCGACCTATAGATGTATCCCATGGCCTACATTTGACACTACGCTGCTTAGATAAAGACAGCTTGTGTTAGTGTTGAACGTGACCTCAGCTAACATGGCAAATGATCAACAACATTACTATGTAGTTCTGCCCTCGAGACTGTCCTAAAACCGTATTGTCCGTTTTCACTCAGGCCTTACTGTGATGCAAAAGCCCTAAATGAAGTAAGATATTCCACTGATTCTGAATCTCCCACCACACTGGGGTTCCTTTTTCTATTTAAATGGGGTTCTTTGCTTTTATCGTAATGATATATTCAGAGACTATGTGTAAATCATTTCTCTCTTCAGGACAGCCTTGATTTCCTCGGGGAATATTCTCCCTGCAGTGTTGTATTGTTCGATAAACATCTCCCCTCGTCGTATATTTCTAAAATGTATTTGAAGTATTTATAATTTAGTTATGTCGCTGGGGAGGAAGGAGGGGAACAACGCTGATACAATACCGTCTGAACACCGGGCCGTGGATATCGTCTACAAGCTCAAAGCAGGGACAGATGTCAATGAAATTCCTGTAAGTGTTACCTGACAATAAACTGCTCACGCTCGACCTCGACCTAACCAATAGCCGGGGTCACACTCTCAGGTCTGACCTGACACAGGCACAGTGTTTAGAGTGGAACGTGACTAACATGGCGAACATTGAGTTTTATTACTTTACGGGAAGCGGGCCATGCCGTTCTGTCCTCATGACAGCCAAGGCTCTTGGTGTACCACTCGAGTTGAAACAACTCGACTACTGGAACAAACAACATCTTAGCCCAGAGTTTACTGAGGTGAGTGAGTAAACAACAGACAACATGAATGTCGTTGGTCGTAAGACGAAACTAAATCACTATCGGGAATCATGCATATGATATAGTTCCTGAAGCCCTTTCCTTTTGCCCTGCAAGATTGGGAAGAATGTGTCCCCAGTGACCCACGTTTGGGTGAGCAACAGACTTGCCTTGGCGGCGTGAATAGGCCCCCATGTTTTCTGTCCCTTGTTTGTCAGAATATATGTCGAGAGATCGCTGATCAAACACCAATCCGCAACTGCTCACTTGAGGAGTGAGTGAGTGAGTGAGTGAGTGAGTTTAGTTTTACGCCACACTCAGCAATATTCCACCTATATGGCAGCGGTATGACCAGACAATCCAGTGATCAACAGCATGAGCATCGATCTGCGCAATTGGGGACCGATGACATGTGTCAACCAAGTCAGCGAGCCCGACCACCCGATCCCGTTAGTCGCCTCTTACGACAAGCACAGTCGCCTTTTGTGGCAAGCATGGGTTGCTGAAGACCTATTCTACCCCGGGCTCACTTGAAGAGGTTCTGTTAGATATGAACCTCTGTAGAATGGATGCCTGCTGCAAACACACGACGTCCCATGTTTCAAGACTTACTCACTTCAAGTCCACTTCCTCAAATTAAGAATATTGTGAACACAAGATAAAAAAACGTTGTTGAAGGGGCAAAATTAAGAAGCTGTAAATTTATTCCCACCTATTTGTACATCCATTTAAAATACTCATTTGAGCAAAGTAATTGTTTTCTGTTGTGGAAAACAAAATGGATGAGTGGTAGATCTCGTGATTGGTGGAGCCAAGTTTTGTTACAGATCAGACGTCGACATGATGGCCAAAACTATGTTCTATGTGAATATATTTGCCCCATGTCGTTTGTCGATGTGTGGGTATTGGTGGCGATGGTGCAATAATATGATGGTTGTGGACAAGATGACATCTGCAACAGAAATAAATATGAATCCTGAAACATTTTCGAAAGTAATTTTGTGATGAGCAAATACGTTCATATGAGACTTTTAAATAAATTTACTTGTCTCTGTGTTTATTTGTGTTGCTTTTTTTAATAATACTGTAAAGATAAGAATCAATTTAAAACCAACCAAACCTCGACAGCTCGTTAACTCAAAATACGGATTAAGACGATTATTCGAATGACCCTATCAAACTCATCATTGGCTGAAGTGTTTGATGAGCTCAAAATGCTAGCCTACAACTATTGATAACACTTTTAGCACCCGTCCCATGTACGGACTTCTACTTTAATTTGAAATTATCCCATGGTCAAAATGATTATTTGTCAGGAGCTGGCAATACATACAGCTCTGTATGTCGACTGTTATATTCGATCGACATTTTATATGTCTCTGAACATAAGCGTATTGTAGGTTATATTTCAGCGTAATATTACATACTCGGGGCATGGAGCGAATTCTGCAGAGTCACTAGTCGTACAGCTGCCTTGGGGATTTTTTTGTGAATAGCAACGGTAGCATCCAACTAGATAACCCAGATTTTATGGGTCGTGGTGAAATCGGTTCGTACAAAGATAACGGGTTCAGTAACAGTGGTATCCTCCCATAGCCCTTATATCAGCATGAGATAGTCTTTTACTCTCTCATGCTAGGGCAGTGGCTATTTTTTAACTATAATTATGAATTCAAATACATAGGCCTCACATAAATAAATTACATTACAGTAGATTCAAAGTTGAAGAAATAAATACGGCTCTGTGTAATGATATCATTCCAATACAGATGACGTGTTTAACTATACTAGGCACATAAAGAAACTGTGCATACAAAACTTTAAAATCTAACTTTATCAAACCTGTGTAGACACATAAGGATTCAAACTCAGAGATTAGTGACATGTATCCAACATGCATGCACGTGCCACGTTCCGTGACTGACGTCAGTGGGTTCGTCCTTGAGACGTGCAATACGTTGTTGCACGTTCATTCCGGGAAAGAGAAAAAGAGCAAATGAATGCCACACAATACTGTCACTTTGGAAAGCTCAACCCCTGCCCTTGCGATCGTTCATAAAATTAAACGGATATTGAAACGCATAGCATGCCAAGGCTCACGTCTGCACAACGTCATGAGGCCATTGGGATGGTCCGTGGGGGAATGTCTCAACAAGTGGCTGCACATGTCCACTGCCACCGGAACACCATTTCTGCTCTGGTGAGACGCTACCAGAACACAACGCCAAGACGGGACAGATGGATAAGGGTGACCCATCTTCGCCTAAGGTTTCAGACTGCAGTGATGGCTGCCCGAACCATCCCAGGACTTCGCCGTATCCACCCCAACACAGTTCGACAACGTTTACGTCATCACGGGATCAGACCACGACGTCCCGTCATACGGCCTATCCTGACACAACGTCATCGACAAGCTCGCCGAATGTGGTGCCGAAATCATGTCCGCAGACCCTTGTTTTGGTGGAGAAATGTTGTTTTTACAGATGAGTCCAGGTTTAACATTTCCCATAGTGATGGACGTCTACGTGCCTATAGACGCGTGGGAGAACGTTATGCACAGGCCTGTGTCTTGGAGAGGAATCGCTTTGGTGGTGGTTCCGTGATGAGTTGGGGTGGAATAACAGCACGCCAAAGAACTCCTTTGGTGATTGTTCAGGGCAACTTAACTGGTGTGGGCTACAGGGATCAGATTCTTCGACCTGTGGCAATTCCTTTTCTGCAACGTCATGGCCCTGGGTTAACATTCCAACAGGATAATGCCCGCCCTCATACGGCAAGGGTTGCTATGGATTTCTTGCAACACCACAGCGTTGACTTACTGCCTTGGCCTGCAAATTCACCGGATCTCTCCCCGATAGAGCATGTTTGGGACGAGATGGATCGACGTCTACGCCGTCTTCCTCATCCGCCAGATAACGTCCTTGACCTTGCAACAGAACTTGAGAGAATCTGGCGTGACATCCCACAAGCCTTCCTTGCACGTTTGATAGGCTCTATGCGTCGTCGACGCACAGCTGTTCTCAATGCCGATGGTGGACATACCCGTTATTGAGATTGTGACATGGTCGTTTGACCCCTGTCCCGCTTGTGGACTCGTGACGTCATTGTGATTGACTTTTCAATTGAAATTCTCCCGACTTGTTATGGTCTCATGATCCCTCCATTAAAGTTTATATGTACCTTTGACACTGTTATCGTACTTATCAACTGGGATCATATTTTGACAATGCACAGTTTCTTTATGTGGCTTGTATATATCAGACTTTGACAATGAAGAACATCAATTTGAGGGGAATGGAACCGTTCCATCGAGCTTGAACATTATATAGATGTAAACAACCCTAAACTGTAGTTTTGAAAGCATAGAAAGTTGGAGAGAACAATACCAATTAGTAAATTCACATTGAAGAGAAGGAAGCCAGACTTGATATATTTTCTGGTATTAAAAGACATAAAGAAGAAGAACATAAAGCTTTGTTTCCTAAAACCTAGATAGAGATCACCAAAACCTTTTGTGCAGTATAATTATTGCTCCCACCATAGACACAGCATTAGAAAAACATTAAAATTAACAAAAGTTCAAAAGCAGTTGGAGTATTGAAAATTTGAACATTTCACAAATTTACGGTTTTCAGTTGAGCGTATCACGCAATTCAGTTGGAATAAAAAGCATATAGGGATATTGTAACGTAAAATACAACACGGAAAAGGTGATCATATATTTGTGGACACACAGTGAGAAATCTGGTCGTGCCTGAGTGTGAATATTTTGCAGAAAATTAGTTCAGATATGGTACTAACTGAAAATATGACTGTGTAGCGGATTTTATTGACTTTGTTTTTTCACAGTTGTAGACCCCAATGGTCCCAGTTAACTGAGAATGAGTGCGTAACGGTAACAGTCAAGATATTCCTTGTTATCAGTGATAGAGACAACCATCCATGTAACACTGCACAGTAACTCATAGAAAAGTAGCGTTCAAAATGCACGTCCAGAGAATTCCTGGTTCAAACTGAACTGCATAACTGACGTCACCTTGACTGGTCATATTCAGAAAGTCACGCAGGAAGCAAAAGCACTGTAAGTCCCCTTGATCCCCAGTAAGGTGGTCAAACTTTGGTTGTTACTGGTTTATAGCCTAGTTTTCATTGATAAGAACGAATCTATTGAATCTACTGTCTTCTTATTTTAATTATCATCATTTTAAAACTGTGATATACCTACCTTTTTTACTGTCCTTTGTCGACAGACATTTTAAAATGATTACCTTGTTTTCATCGCTACATGGTTGTAATATTGCCGACGCGATGTAAAATTAACTCACTCACTAATATTCAGAAAGGCGTTAAACACAAATGATGCATGCAATGAGTGAAGTTCAATGTATATTGAAACATTTCAGATAAACCCGGATCAAACTGTCCCAACAATTAAAGATGGAGAATTCACACTTTGGGAGAGGTAAGGCCACACCACTAAAGTACATTCCCACAGTCCAAGCAATGTATAGATTTTCCGTGAGTCCATATCTTGTGAAACAATTATTCACTGGTTTAAATATATGCAATCTAGGATTATAAACTCATTCTACCAAATTGGACAACTGAGAAATGTATTAACATCCCGTTTTTGTAAAGTCTTCTTCAACTGATCTGTCACATTCTGTGGTAAGAGGTTAAAATGCAGTACTACAGAAGGTGAATCATAGTTTGATACCGACAGTAAACAACGAATCTGCATATTTAAACTTAGATTCTGGTGTTCTGAAACTATTTTCACTTTATGAACAAATTATTTAACTTGGATAAACTCATGTCACTGCAACATTATTATCACGCATCTGAGTCATATTTAGAAACTTTTTATGATAGTGTTGATGATAAAATGGCATTTGGTACATATGTTTGCATTTGTTGCCATGGAACAGTTCGTCAACTCTCCTTATTCTGGAGATTCCCTGTGAATATGGTTAGGGTTTTACTGCTTTTGTTTATCCCTATACCAAATCTGCCCGTGATCATGGTTATTGTGATAACTGCACTTTGGTGTTTATTACCTGCATGTTTGATGCATGCCCTCGTATGCCTGCTGGGAAACCCCGTGTAGACCCGAGTTAGAATTTATCTTCAGCAAATCATGCTTGTGGTCAGAGGCGACAAACAGGATCCGGTGATCAGGCTCGCTGACATGGTTGACACATGTCATCGTATCCCAATCGCGTAGATCGATGCTCATGATGTTGACCACTGTAAATTGTCTGGTCCAGATGTATTTATTTACAGACCGATGACAAAGTGTTGGAATATTGCTGAGTGTGGCGGGAAGCATCAAACAAACAAAACAAAACAAACCTTCACGGAAATAGGACTGGACTATCGTCTTCCAGACTCGAGTAATTATGAAAGACCGTTATACCGTTGAAATATTTCCGAATGCCACCAGATTTGCCTGAAATCTCATGTAATGCATAGACACTAGTCAGCTGGAATGGTACTTGCTGTAAAATGAGTAGGATTACTAAAGTCTCTGCAGAAGAGCCCTAGAAGTTAATTTCCATCAAAGTGCCAATCATTGGTTATACCTTGTAATTCGAACTCCAATGCACCCACATCTTTATGCTCTATTTTGTTCCACGTGGTGTCTTTAGTTAACCATTCGACGTTTCTTCAAACACTTGCTCACCACTAAATTGTGTCCACAGCCGAGCCATCATGCGCTACCTGGTAGGGACGTATGGGGGTGAGGACAACAGCCTGTACCCCCAGGACCTAAAGAAGAGGGCAGAGGTGGACCGCCTCCTGGACTATGACCTGGGGGTCTTCCACAGAACCATGTTGGAGGGTGTGGTCAGTACACAGCTATTGTTCCGTTAAATCACACGTAGCTCTTCACTCAACAAGGACACTTGTATTGCCAAGTCGACCCAATCAGGATTCCTAAGTACAGGTTACGAGTGCCCAATGTGCATGGCATGACAACTGAATTCTGTAACATAAGGTGTGACCCATCCTCTGTCTGCAGTACAGGACAAGGATATACACCTTGTAACGAACAACAATTTAGCACTGAGACAATAACCTGCGACTAATTGTGCCTATTATACATGTTTATTTCTTAAATAGGCCAACGACCAACACGAAAAATACATTGTACATACTTTCGAAAGCGCATTGCCAACATTTGCCTCCCCCGCACCCAACCCCTTACAAAGACCTTTCGTGACAAAAAATAGCACTAAAAAGAAGATAGACATTCATGGATATGCGTCGATTACTCTATAAACAAATGAGTATATAACTATACAAATCCTCATTTCCTAGAGACAACACGAATCATATTGCTCCTGTTTCAGTGGATGCCGATGAAAGACAGAACCGAACCAACGAAAGAACAAGAGGAGAAGGTTGTCAAGGCTTTCACACGGATTGATACACTAGTCAAAGATAAGAAGTTCCTGACAGGAAATTGTCTCACCATTGCCGACTTTGCTATCGTAATTGGCTTTGGAGCCGAATACATCTATCGAGGGGATATGTCAAAGTACCCGAATGCCATGGCATGGTACAAGAGAATACAGGAATTACCGTACTATAAAGAAGTGAATCAGTCATATTATGACTTGGTGGAGTATATGAAAACACGACCAGCTGAAAAGTCCTGAAAAGTCGTGAAACATTAGCAAAACATGAATACTTACAGATCCACTGAAGTGTAAAGATGACAAAAGAAGAGAAGAGGACCACAATATATTAGTAGAAGATTTTTTTTACATGTCAGTGTCACATCATTCATCTGTATAAACCAAAGTCGAATCCATTAACTAATGCTGGATCCCTATTGAATTGTTTCGGAAATGATGACAATAAAGATTTACAGCATATAGGTTGGCTGATATTTTTTGTAAAAAGACCTATTTTGGCCAGTTCGATAATTTCAGTATTTTTGAGCGCATGTATCTACACTGAACACAACAGTGGTTGTTGTCTGTACACCTTTACACAATATTAGATGTTAATCCCAAAAGTATGACAAATAATTTCGTGATCTGTTACAACTGGACCCCGGACAAGCTCTCAATTTCTGTAACGTGTCGAATCCCGACTTGAAACAAACTTTTAACCTAGAAATCTAAACGCAAAATAATGTAGAATGAAGCCAAAAAATATTACAGAATTAACAAATGTATAAACTCAACTAAGCTTACAAACGATACAGGTCACTACACTCACACATGCAGTCTAAACACCCTTTTCTGTCTATTAATTGTCTAGAAGAGTCTGGACCAGACAATCCAGTGATCAGCAGCATGATCATCGATCTACGCAATTGGGATCAACCAAGTCAGCGAGCCTGACCACCCGATCCCGTTACTCGCCTCTTACGACAAACATGGGCTGCTGAAGACCAACTGTAACCCGGATCTTAACTGGTCTCTAGAAGATTCCAAATTACACTTGACTCCAAAAGAACCCAAAATATAGTAGGTTAGATCGTGGTTCAATTCTGGGCACTAACTATTATTACAGCACAGTATCATGAATTTCTGCTAAATGTTAACAGAAACAATGCAATGCAATTACAACACCATAGCAAGAAGCGCCAATTATCTAATTACCTTCCATGTTATGTGCCTACAGTTGTTATGTTATCACTATCTGCTTCCTAGCTTTGCATTCATTATTTTTGTCACTTCTTTGAGTGGCATCTTAGAAGCTGGGAAGTTCAATATAGACAAACTTTATGGATAACAACTTAACAACATTCCTGCTTGACAAGAATCTGTATCGAAACGTCGCACTAACGAAATAGAGAAGTTGTTATCCATTAAGTTTGTCTATATTATTTTTGTGTCTTCAGATGTGCAGCAGCCAGGATTTACTGAGTCAGTTTGCTGCCTGCCGAGCGAATGGAACAGTTCTTGTTGTTCGATATCTCTCCAGACGTATGTAAAGAGCGCTTCGTCATATACTGCCCACTGATAGTGGTAAATGACACAACAACCTACATGTAACAAAAGAAATACGAATCACCTGCAGTGAAGCCGTTAATCAGTGAAGCTCAACGTTTGTCGGCCATTGTGTAATACACATAGCCCCTGCTATACACGCGGTGAACAGGTGTGTCTGTCAGCTTAAATTACACGACCAAGTCTCATATATAAAACCATATATATTTTAAGAACCTGTTACATAAATGATTGAAGTTTTCGAGTAAAGACCCTTAAGAGGGAATTAAATTAATGACCTCAACAGTACACACCTTTGTCTGGTGATCATGAAAGTTGATGGTATATATATCGCTCGCCAACTTCACTGATGGTAGAATGGGTGTGGTGTCTCCATTTGAATTTCATACCAGCTCTGGTCCTGGCTCACGTTACTGCGATTTGGTCAGGAGTCGTGGTTACGTGCGGAGCTGATACGAAAATCGAAGAAGTACACCACGCCCATTTTGGGTTAAATAATAATCATGCGCCTCAAGGGGGCGTTATTCTTTGGCACTTTTAGTGTACGTCGAATAGTCGATATATGGAGTATATTTTCTGTATTGATCCTGTTTATGTAGTTATTTCATTTATTGTTTGTGCATGAACCAATAATTTGTCACTCATTATCATTTCTGATTTTGACACTTTCGAGGATTCGGGGAAGGTTTGATAATATCTCGACCATTTTTCCCGTCAGTCGCATTGATTCCACCATCATAAGTTGTGATTTACTTTATTTCATCCTTGTTCTGGTAAGAAGCAGCGATGTGACCACTGCAATGACACGCACACACAGAAACACTCCATGGTGATGAGAAGAAGACACACAGGAATTTGTCCGATAAGTATGCCAATAATTCAAGATACTTTGTGTAATACTATAATCATAAGAATCAATTTAAAACCAACCAAACCTCGTTAACTCAAAATACGGAATAAGACGAATATTCGAATGAGCCTATCAAATTCATCATTGGCTGAAGTGTTTGATTAGGGCAAAATACTAGCCTATATGGTATGGGGTGGAATAGGCCTGAACCACAGAGTGGGTCCTGTGGTGTTCCAGAACCTTTGTCCAGGGAGAGGAGGCGGCATCACAGCGGTGCGCTACATCGACCAAGTTCTCAGACCCCACGTCATACCACATTTCGCACGTGACCGGAACAACATTTTCCAGCATGATAACGCCCAGGCCCATACTGCCAGAGCTACACGGGACTTCCTACAGCAGAACAGTGTCACCATTATGCAGTGGCTAGCCCTTAGTCCTGATTGAAACCCAACTGAACATCTTCGGGATGAAATTCAGAGGAGACTGAATAATGTCATACCAAGGCCGAACACAGCCGATTTAGTGCGCCAGGCCTTTCCCAGAGTGTGGTTCAAGGTGCCAATGGCCTTCATCAATCGATTGGTGCACTCCACGCTGTGCTGCAGTCATTGTGGTCACACTAGATACTGAAGTCAAGAGTCTGAATGGACTGCAAACGTGCACGTAATGTCTTAAAAAGGTGCGTTATTCATTGATGCGTCAAGATATTGTACACATAAAATGTTTTTGATCCGCTTATTATGTCCATTTCTGTAATTATTTGATTACAGTGCCTATCTAATTTTGAATTCGTACTGACGTTTTCTTTGCTGCTGAGTATATATATATATTAAGGATTTGCGACCCAAAGCAGATTAATGTGTCCTGATTCTGCTTAGAACAGTGGACGACATTCGCGCTTTGTATTTGGACCCCTGGTCTCTGAAGACCTGGATCATATGGAGAGACACAGAACATCCTACTCAACGAATCCCTGGACTGCTGTAACCCCATGAAAGTGTTAGTTACATATGCGTCAGTAATCTACCATGAGGGCAGTGGGAATCCCACTTTATCAATAACTAATATGCTCTATGGCCTATGTTACCTGTATATTTTCATTTTCTGATCATAATAACTCCATCAACTCATGAGCTTTGCTAGAACAATACGTTTGGAATCACTGTTGAGGACAAGATAATCACAGGTCATCATATCCATTAATATTATGGTCACTCAGTGCTTCAATATGCATTATTGTCTGAATGCTGTGATATGTTGGGTCGTGTCCGTCAACATCTAAACATGCCCATTGAAGCTATGATTAAACCGAAAGTGGATGTGATAGGAGGGTGTTCCTTTGTGTCAGAGACGGTGCCGACAATACTGCTATTAAGTTGGGTTTAACTACGCCGGTGACCATGCAAGCAAATCAGGCTATAATCAGAAAAAGAAATCAGCTTTTTATAAGGAATGAGATGGGATGGGGGCATTGTTGATTGGAGTACTGATTACTGTAGCGTTGGAGCACCAGTTGCAGATCACAACCAGTGAGGCAATCTTTGGGTCCATTTCATCAGTACATGAACTTGATTGGGAGCAGGACTGAGAGCAGGCTGTGCAATGTCTCCTCCGGTAGATGGAACGTCTCTTTCGAAGAAGTGGACTGCTGTGAAGGTGGTCGTCGATGACTATATGTCCACGGCGACTGTGCATGGATTCAGCAGGGTCATCGGGAAACAGTTGTACTTTGGGCGAAGGTGAGTTTTCATGAGCCACTGATTGTGGTAACGCATTTTTAAATTTCAATATTCCCATGTGACTAAATTTAGTGGTAATTCCATCCTATTTTCGAACGCAAACTATCCTCAGTATTTTCGATTGTCTTCAGAAAAAGTTGAGGTATGTCCTACTTTTGTTAGCTTTGCTTCAATAATCGTACAATTTGCGCAGTTACTAGTACGTACGTACACTTCATTCAAGGTTTGTAGCCCTCACAGCGTAATTTGCACAATCACTGTCTGTTGCACGACGAAGGTCGAGCATAGTTACGTGTATGTTACAAATATGTTATTTATCATTATAGGATATCTATATTATTATAGGACATTTATATAACACACATGTCCACGCAACTAGTACATGCTCAAGGCGCTGGTATTTTGTCCCTCGATCATTGGATGTCAATTTCAACGGCACATCACATTATCAATCTCAACTCCCGGGGGTTCATGCAACTCTTGCAGTCACTAGGCCCACCGAGCTATTGCAACTTTACCCATTCACAGCTGGGTGGACTGGGATACATAGTCACAGTACTTTGTCCAAGTACCCTCAACTGTCCCTAGTATGGTGGTCAGTTGTTGGCCATTAATAGCCTGTTTTTATATTATTTATTGTCCAAATAGTGCTATTAGTTTTAACTTCACATGCTAGTTTTAATTTGAACTGTGATGGTCTAGTTGTTTTACTGTGCTTGAACGACAGGTTTTATTAAACATACAAATTCATTATTTGAACATATTCATGTTGCCACCATCTGGTGATTTACCAACGGAGAAACAAATAAAGGAACACAGGAATATTCAAGTGTTCCTTTAATATTTTCTAGTTTTCATCACCAGCTTTGAACAGCGCTGTGGTGATGGAAAAATGGAAAATAATAAAGGAACGCTTGAATTTTCCTGTGTTCCTTCATTTGTGTCTCTACGTATATTTAACCATAATAAATGCTATGTTAAGTGGTCTATGTACCATCCACTCTTTGAGAAGCCTTAGCTTTACTTGATATGCATGTGTGTATTGTCACCAGCAGCATTTTGTCACTGTTCGTGTGAATCTTGGTATTGCATGTTCATACTGTACGTAGATCTACTCTTTGTATGCATGTGTGTGGCAGTGGTAACTTATCCACAAAAAAACCCACCTGAATCCTTTCTTGTGTCTTTTCCTCAAAAGAGGGCAAGTATCTCCCTGGCCCCTTGTCCCCACCTGTAACAGGGATTCAGCAATAAAATATTAAATACAAAAACCAAGTACAGATTCAAGTATTTTGGGTGCGATTAGGTGTCTGACTGTGGGTTCAAATCTCGCATGTGACTCAACCCAAACAGTACTACAATATTTACCCTACTGATGCACTGGTATTGGTGTTGACATTTATATTTCATGAACCCAAACTGTTTTTGAAGGATATGTGGCGCGATGATATAGTTACTCGTGTAAAGTAATATGTCCTTTCCCTGTGACCTAGTCGTCTATTGCGATGTAAGCCGTCGTGTCTCTTAGGCCGGTCAGAAAACTATGAATGTGGCTTTGAACCCCACATTCGTTTTCAATGTTTCGAGTCGTGCCCATGATGTTGATCACTGGATTGTCTCGCCCGCACTCGATCATTTACACACCGCCGTCATTTAGCTGGAATATTGCTGGGTGCGGTGTAAAACTAGACTCACTCATTCACTTACTGGAGTCGTGTCAGCTTGATCAAACATGTGGTTGACGCCTAAGTCTGGATTTTATCCGCTTTCTCAAGCTAACACTCTCATTCATTCCTTTATTACAGTGTCAAGACCATTTCTGGTGTCCCCCGCCGTGATATTGCTGGAATATTGCTAAAAGCGGCGTAAAACCAAACTCTCACTCATTCACTCTTTCATTACATTATTCAGGTTCTTTTGGCTCCTGGTCGTCCTTGGCGCCGGTGTGGCTCTGGCTATCCAGGTGTACGCGGAGTTTGAAGTCTACAATGCCCGACCTACGTTAATCAAAGAACAGTTCAGGGACATTGTGGACATGGTCAAAGAGCTGCCGACCATTAGCCTCTGCCCCTTGAAAGGTTTTGAAGGAATAGTGAACCACTCCTCCCCTTCGCCTCTCACTCGAGAAGAGATGGTTATGCAGAGATTCGCCTACCCATCATCACATATATCAGAGAGTCTTTTGTCCAGTGTCCACATTAAAGTGTACGGATGGGACGATACTGGACATCCCGACACGCCAGGACGTCAGACGTTTCTCAGTCCATTTAGATTACAGGAGCTGTCTGCGAGTCGCTTCTTGAACAGGTCATGGGAGATAAGTGATGGTCTACCAGCTTTTTTTAATGACTCAGATTCTGGAGAGGTGTTGAAGATCCTTGCTAGATCAAGCCGTGTTCTGGATGTGAAGGGCTGCCCAAGAAAGATACAGTCATTGTATGATCTCCCATGTTGCAGCAACTTCTTCTCAGAAGTCTTTACAGAGACGGGAGTGTGCCAGACCCTCAATATGACAGCACTTATCAAGGAAGGCAAACGGAAGGGTTTCTTCGCTGAGAACAGGTTCCTAGTTGTCGTTGATGCCATGATGCAGACAGACTTAACGATGTTCACAAACGTGAAAGGAATTCAGGTACGAAGTTTATGAACTATTCACGGCAACGGACGTCAGGTACAGCTGTAATCAGTCTTTAGTTCAGGATATGAATAGTTCCGGATAAACACAAAGCGAGATCCAATCTCAACATTGTATGTTTTTTCATTACATTGATGGCAATAGGCATTCATTGAATGACAAACCGTGCAAGTTACGACTAGTAAAAGCTCAATTCTACCATGGCTACGTGAAATACTCGAATTTGATTGGACAATCAATAAAATTAGATACTATCAATCCTGGATTAAAGATGCGTGTGATTTCATGACCGCTTCACTGCACACGTATACAACATTGCCGCACTACAACAGCTTGACCACCAATATGGCTAATATCAACACAACAGACGCAAGTCAAAACATTGATTACACAACAAGGCCTAGATTTTCGAAGCTCTCTTAGCGCTAAGATAGTCGTAAGTTAATGTTAATGAATGGCACTTACGACAATCTTAGCGCTAAGAGAGCTTCGAAAATCTAGGCCCAGTATCGTTTCCTGTTGACTGGGTTCCGTCCTATTACGCAACTTATTGAGACCAATTCATTCAACTGGAAACATACATATTAAATTATTAATCAGTATTATTTGATATATCTAAGCACTTTTATATTGCAACACTACGCACCTTCTAATCATTGCAAACACGTAGTGCAGCGTCCTCTGTCGTACAGCGTTCTCTGACAAACGGAAATCTGGAAATCGTGAAAATCTCAAAACGAGGCTTTGCCGCTAGAAAAGTTTGGCGGTCTGATACCGACTTGGTATTATATCAGTCACATTGTGCGTTACAAACCTACACTGAATAAGCACAAAGAACACATAACAGTGAGTGTAACCAGTGAGCCAGATGCATTGCGAATCATTTTACGACCTCATAAAACGTGGGCAGTCTGTGACGTCTTAGTTAAGGTCATGCTGCCTACACCTCTCTCTTTTCACTTTCACATGAGAAAATTTGGATCGGCTGAAAAGTAGGTCATTGTCTGAATAGGTTTGCGGATGGAAATGCTTATAAAACATTTATTAAACTCGAAAAATACAATTATATATATAATGATTTTTCCTCCACAATTATTAAGGAACCTCATTATCACATTACCTTTTATTATAAAAATATTCAAACTCAATTACAACGCACAGTCCCAAACATAAACAAACAATATCTATATTTTAAATCAGAAAGCCTTGTAAAAATACATCCCTATCTATACAAAATTTGCAGCAAAGCGTTGACTACCTGGTAAATGGTATATTTGTTTCCGTTTAGAATGGAAAATTCGGAAGATAACGGTCAGGCGTAACGCCAAATTTATGCCGCTCAGACTCCATCATGTCCCGTTGCATCGTTAAAAAAAAACATGTCAGAAATTGAGCTACCAGAATTCTGGTGTAGAATGGAAAATTCGCAAGATAACGGTCAGGCGAAACGCCAAATTTATGCAACTCGGACTCCATCATGTCCCGTTGCATCGTTCAAAAAATACATGTCAGAAATTGAGCCACCAGAATTCTGCTCTCTGTCAGCTGCCCCGCACTGCTGGGGATCTATGTTCGTACACTTTGAAAATAGCTTGACCACAATGCAGTCCCAAATGATGAATACAATTTCCAAGGAATCCCAAGTTAGTCGCATGCACATAAATCATTGCGATAGGAGTGCCGGGGGCACGTGCGTGAAATCATGATCGTAACTCGCCGGTCGTAAAAATCAACAGTCTTTGATGAGTTACAACACTGATTCGTAGGTCGATCAAAAAGGATTGGATCTATTCTTCGATTCTGCAGGGTTCAAATGAAATTTAGAGACTATCAATTCGGTCTAACATTCATCTAATTTCCAAACACAGTACGTTTATCTCCTAAGTGTGCGTGCTCCAATTTCTGAAACAAAGCTTTCATTACATTGTTTTCCACTGCTTAAGGTTCTTGTATCATTATTTTGAGTCTTGCTTTCTCTTATTTGTCAGGTCGTCGTCCATGCTAGCGATGATCCAGTCATGCCGACCAAGAGTGGGGTCTTCGTTCCTTCCGCCACACACTCCAAACTGACCATCGATACCACAAAGGTTAGGACCCTCTTACAAGAACTGTTGTTTGTATGGTTGTTTCTTCGTTCGTTCGTTCACGCTGCGATCAGCAATAAATCAGCTAGATGACGGGGGCCTATAAAGAACCATGTCTGGGCACATGAATCAAGTGAGTGATATCATGAGCATCAAGGCATGCCTCACATGACTCACAGAGTCCCCGAGCCTGAACCCACAATATGATACGCCGTCCCTTAGGACCGGCAACGGTTGCTAGGGACTTAGCAAGAATCCTCAAGATATTCTTAATGCTAATGTATCCAGTGTTAAAGACTGGGATATTTACGATAACCGTAAAGAACGTATAGAATATTCCATGAGGTAAGAGTGGAAACGAAAAAGAAGACGATATAACACTGCATATTGTAGCCTCTATTATTACTCAGCTTTGATGAAGCATGAATGTGTTTGAGTGCTTGAACGTTCTGTCAACCGGCAGTTAGAAATAGTCGACCATTCTGGTAGGAGAGCTGTCGGAAAGATCCGACTGTTCCACGTCGCCGGATTGTAAGTAATCTGGACTTGATGGATGGGAAAAGATATCAAAAGAAACGTCATCTTGGGAACGATGACGCCATGAAGCCCCGTTCTACGTTAATCGATCAGTGCATTATTATGCTTGAATATACGAATCTTATGTTTTCTGTGACAAGAGTGATGACTTACATCATCAAAATTACTTTTGATGAGGAGGTTGAAGATATTACGTTTGTGTGCATCGGACTGTGGAAGAGTAGTTGCACAAAAATAAATATGATCTCTTTGTTTTACAGAGAATAAATTTACCACCACCGTTTACAACAGCCGATGGATTCTGTATTGACACTGATGCCGAACCTTTTTCCCGAGTTTTGACGAGGTTTCCCGAACACAAATACAGTTTGTACGCCTGTGAAAGGGAGTGTCTCATTAACTACACCGTCAGCGTGTGTGGGTGCAGGCATCCTTGGGATCCAGGTGACAGCTTCATTAATTACCTTGGAAAAACAATACGAGATATTACCAATCTGCTTCAACATTATCGGGTTTAAAAAAACACAATGCAAAATACATGATGTCAAAACAATTTTACCTGTAGAGGCAGGCTTGACGTTACGTTGATACTATTGTGGGACGATACTTACAGCGCTGTTTACACGACATGTCATTCCAATGACGGCTTATTGACGAGATTCATGAAGATCCGGATTAGAATTGATCTTCAGTAACCCATGCGTGTCGTAAGAGGCGACTAACGGGATCGGGTGGTCAGGCTCGCTGACTTGGCACATGTCATCGTATCCTAAATGTGTAGATCGATGCTCATGTTGTTGATTACTGGATTGCATGGTCCAGACTCGATTATTTACAGACCGCCGCCATGTCGCTGGAATATTGCTGAGTGCGGCTTGCGCTTCTTACGACAAGTATGGGTTACTGAAGATCAATCCGAATCCGGATCTTCACGGGTTTCCTTATTTTGAGATTATAATACGTTCGTGTTTGAATCCTATAATCCTCATATACATCCCTGACATTTCGCGTAGAGTCATACAGGCAGAAATCTGTATGATGCACGCCCATATGTAATTATCTCTGCCCAATACGTTTGTTTGGCCGAAAAATGAACCCGTTAGGTATAGTAATGTTAAGTATATCACCAGTAATTTATGTAGGTTGTCGATCAATTCCAACTAGTTAGCTCCTTTTGGATAGATGTGAAATGATACTCTTTAAATTATACTATTGCTATTCCAGGAGCGGAAGACATATGCAGTATTACCAGGACGGTGGAATGCATCTGGGAAGCTGTTGACCGTAAGATTAAAGACAGTCGCGAGAAAATGAAATAAAAACATCTTGTACCTTCTGTGCTTTTTTCTATCTGGATAGTTATTTAATCTCGATTATATTTGTTATAACGCATTTGTAGATTTCCCCTTGGAACCCATAGAATTGGTGAAAACGCAACTTTGCGGTCATGTGACTGTCCGTCCCCCTGCATATCCTCCATCCACGAACTGAAGCTCCACTCCGCATTGTTGGGTCAGTTTGGAGATAACTTGCGGGAAGGTGCACGTGGAGTTGATGGGGAAACCTGTGATTCTTTGAGAGAAGCATTGTCTAAAGGGTAAATATTTACTAATCATGTTCTAGTGTCTCCCCTCCTAATTTAAAAGAAATTAGAATCTTTGTATGCATGCACACGTACAGAAGAGCGTCATTTGAATAACAATACCATAACCATTTCAGATTCCGCGGTATCCAACTCATTGACGTAGGGTTCCCCATGAAAATACGAGAAGTGAGGCAGACACAGATGAAGACCATCGGTGATACACTGGGTAGGTGCATGATGGGAAGATGTAGTCACTCGGGTGGTGAGTGTGAGCGTAGATACACAACATGAGAAGTTCTTCACCGGCTGGTGAATGTGTCGGTTGCTATACGGCTGTTAAGACAGCAATATTATTCATAGCAATAAAACTTCCTACCAGCGTTATATTCAGAAGACAATAAGACAAGCAAGGGGCGGTGGGGTTGCCTGATGGTTAAAGCGTTCACTCGTCACGCTGAAGACCCGGGTTCGATTCCCCACATCAGCATGTGTGAAGCCCATTTCTGGTGTCCCCAGCCGTGATATTGCTGGAATATTGCTAAAGCGACGTAAATCACACTGACTCACTCCCTTGCTGGGAAACATTTTATCTCTAGATTTGTTATTTTAATGAACACTTCATTATAACCACACACAGTAATGTGTATAAACACTCCGATACATTTGTCTTAATTACAATTTTATATATATCATGTATAAAGTATGGCCTTCAAGAGTTCGCTATGTTTCGAATATTTTACACAAGGTACATGCCCGCCTTCCCGCACTGATGTGCGTGTTACCAAACCGTTTCTTCCCACAGCTGCCCTTGGGGGTCTCATCGGCCTGTTCCTTGGATTCAGTATCGTGTCTGTGGCGGAGATTGCCGAACTACTGTTTCTAATGCTCCGAGGCATCACTTGTCGGATAAGGAAGCAGGAGACCCAGGTTCAAAGTGTGAAGTAAATTGATGGTTACATGTCGATTGCTACACGCTGTCCGGCCATAATATACAATTGAGACATGTCATCGCAATCAGTGGATCTAAGCGCGTTGGGTTCCTTGTGAACGGGCTGGTTACTTCAATATACATGTATCTGTTTTTGACCCCCCATACTAAGGTATTCTATTGCTGACATAAAATTAATTGTTGTCCAAGCATAATGATTGATTACAGACCTTTCGCGTTCATGGAATGCGATGTTCACAGCAGGGGTAAGAAGAAAAAACTTCTTCGTGGGTCTCAACGCGGTGATTGTCAAGTTCAGAGATGCAAACTGTCTCATGTATCGATGTACGGATTTTACGCAGCTTTGGAATCCAGTACGAGAGAAATGAATATGTCTTCGGGGTTTAGAGTCAAATTTAAAGCTGATTCTACTAATGAATGGTTTGGGCAGATTTCTTCCTCAGTTGACCTACTGGCCTTATACAGGTCCTTTTTAGTGGCATTGTTAGAAGTTGGAGAGTCAGATAAGGACAAACTTTATGGACGAACAACTTCTTTATTCAGATGATGCAACGTTTCAATACAGATTCTTGTATCGTTGTGAAGCAGGTACCTGCTTGACAACGAAACAAGATTCTATACCTGCTTCACAACGATACAAGAAGTGTTTCACCCATAAAGTTTGTTCTTATCGTATGCATGACATTATTTTATGTCACTTCTACCAAATTGTATGATTAAACAATTGATGTCGTGATGCCTGGTTGTGTTATTTGAGGCCTTGTCAGTGGGAACGACTTTAAGGTTTTCATGCAGGGCATCCAGAAATAAAATTCGTTCCTCTTAATGATTTTAATGTTTTAATTCCAATTTTTAGGAGGCTGCTCATGGTATGGGCTATATTTTATTTATGAAGAAAGGTTGTCATTGCCAGTCATAGAGAGACATATCCTGACATTACATGACCAAACCATGTTGTTAGCAGATAAGGAGTATTGAAACTACAGACTGTCGTCATACAGCTGGAATATTGCCGAGAGCTTCGTTAAACAAGAAACAAACAAACAAACAATCAAATCATTCTGATATGACAGCTGTCGAAAAGATCCGACTGTTCCACTTTGCCGGATTGTAAGTAATCTGGACAAACAATGAACAAGCTACAATGAATGACAATACAGATTTCTAGTACAATGCAGTTGAGTCACAAATCTAAAATATTGGTCACAAATATAAAATATTAACTCACCAGGGTCTTGACATTTACAGTGAGAGCAGACATACTGATTGAAGGTTGTTTACAATGACAGCAGGCAAGCACGGTCAGTCTAGAAATGTTGAGAAACACGACGATGGCAGACTGATGTGTATAACTCCAGTAATGTGAAAAGTCCGTGTGCAACGCAACAACCAGCCTTTATATAGCTTTTTTTACAGTTCTCGAGCATTCTAGCAAAACTAGGCTGCATCATTATTCTCTCAGAACGATGCGGAATCATGTGGAACACACGACCGGAAGTCAAAACAAATACAAAAGATTGCCCCAAGGGAGGCAACTCTGAAGCGCTATCAAAAAGGGCGTACCGCTACAAATACTATTGCCGTTGAACATATATGATGCGAGATGCGAGCCAAAACCCACACTCAAAGCTTTAAACACTGTGACCCATAATAACTATCACCTAACCAATGACAAACCACAAAAACCACTCTCTCACAACAGATGTTAACAGAGATCATGAGAAACGTCATTTATGGATCGATGACGCGATGAAGCAAATCGACCCGTTCCATGAAGCCGCCAGGTAAATACAGCATTAAACAACAAACAAACAAATTATTCTTGGATGTAGTTTATGTATAATATATCAGCACATGTATATCAGTGCAACCAAATCAGTTTGAAACCCAACCACTCCACTCGTCACACACGTCAACTCCCAGAAGGAGAAAAGCATCCTTTGTGATTCACCCGGTGGGGATTCCTGGATAGAATAACTCCCCAGCAACCTGTGCGTATTGTAAGAGGCGAGCTAATGAATCTATTCAGGATTTACTGACCGCCTTTGATCATGTCCTGACAGACGGGATCGATGTTAGTAATGGGCATATACTATTGTAACAGTATGAGTTATAGTAGTAATGAAAGAATTGGGAACACATTACAACTGGTAGTGAAGTATGGCAGTAGTTGTTCTGACAGCCACTGATCTTGTCAAACCATAGGGGTAGCGAGTGAGTTTATTTTTGTGCCGCTTTTAGCAATATTCCGGCAATATTACGGCGGTGGGCACATTCGCCACATGTCGCATGTCCAAACTATAGCATGTGTTTTGATGTTTAAGGCTTCGTGGCATAAACGTTCAAGATTGTGAAAGGTGTATGTTGTCAACGCTCTTCTTTGTTCTTATTCTAGTATTAACATTTATTTTTCATGATCGCCTACCTTTTAAGAGTGTATATCAACCAATGAAGTGTCTGGTCCAGACTCATTTATCGATCGTCGTCAATGGCTGGAACATTACGCAATGAGGTGCTTACCATCACAATAAACAAACCTGTAATAATTCATAAGCATTACGGTTACATTTTTAGTTACGAAGGCAGTTTGAGAATGATGTGACTCACTCTTCCCTCCATAAAGATTTAATGCAACTGGTAGAGGTTTCAACGATGTTGTGTTGACATCAAACACGTTGCCAGAATAATATTGTTCACAAACACTGTGACTTGTACAGTTGACGCTGTCTGGTTTTGTGTGCTTGAGGGATGTGATCAATTATTTCAACAATTAGCATTACTTTTCATTTTCCGGGCCAGGAGGGAACATCCCAAATTCCCAAATCAACACAGACCAGTATTTGCATTTAATTTCGACGGTTTGTGAAGCCACTATGACTGCACTTAAACCTAATGCAAATCATTTACATACAGCCATTGATGGAACACCAAGCCTAATGGTCCAGTGTTAATCATTGTTCAAAGTATTGATTACAGGAAAACATATGTAGGTTTTCGTTAGCTTAGAGACAATGGTAGGTAGGGTGTTCAGTTTGATTTTGCACATGTGGCTATCTCGTTGTCTCCATTAAGGATATCCGTGTGGTATACAGGTCGTTTTATTCCATAGTGGCTGAACAAACTACCACAGAACTGTATTTGGAATGTGAAAAAGGACTAGATTCCAAATGGCCGCGTTTGATTCAAGAGCAGAGGTAGTTTTGCCTCCTCGGGAGAAGAAATGGGATGCCGTCAAAGGTGCCGTTCATGAATATATGTCTAATTCTACAGTGCATGGTTTCAGCAAAGCTGTTGGTCAACAGTTGTACTTTGGAAGAAGGTGAGCGAACGATTTAAATTGTTTCGAACTGTGTTTTCGTCTGTAGTTTCTCAGTCACACCATATGTCGCCAGTAATCAGACTTGGGTTGTTACAATGTGATGGGGTTGCCATGTTGTCTTGTCTAACCTAATATGTTAGGCAATGGTCTGTACTGGCACAGATTGTGTAAGAGATGTAGATGGAAGGTTGCTGACTGCAGGGTAAAGCATCATTCAATCTCTTATTGTGTTCAATACACTGTCCATCTTACAACATTGACAACGCATCTCACAAAAACACACACCTCACATCGTCCATAAATAACTCTCACGAACAATAAACATCTCACACAACCAACAGATCACCTGAAAAAAAACCATAACACATCTATTTCCTCCATAAATAAATCTAACTAACAATAAACATCTCAGGCTACCAATAGTTTATCTCATATCGACGCATGGCCCTTCTCACGCCGTATATAACCCATCTTACAACATCCATAGCACATCTAAACCCAACCGCAAGGCATCTATTATCCTCCGTAACTCTCACAAACTATAAACATCTCAATCTACCAAAAGCCTATCTTAAACCAACCATAACTCACACTGTCCATAGCCTATCTCATTTATCTCTCCCCTTGATACCAAGGAGCTCCTGTCTGCCTCTTGTTACCAAAGAGTCTCTGTCTCTCCCTTGTTACCAAAGAGTCTCTGTCTGCTCCTTGTTGCCAAAGCGTTCCTGTCCCCCATTGTTACCAAAGAGTCTCTGTCTGCCCTTGGTACCTTGAGTACGTCTGTCCCTTGATACACAAGAGTCCTGTCTCCCCTTGTTACCAAATAGTCTCTGTCTGCTCCTTGTTGCCAAAGTGTTCCTGTCCCCATTGTTACCAAAGAGTCCCTGTTCATGTCTCCCCTTGTTGCCCCAAACCCCTGTCTCCCATTGTTACCAAAGAGTCTCTGTCTGCCCCATGTTACCAAAGAGACTCTGTCTGCTCCTTGTTGCCAAAAGTCTCCCATTGTTCAGTCTCTGTATCCCTTGTTACCAAATTCTCTGTCTGCCTTGTTACAAAGAGTCTCTGTCTGCCCATGTTACCAAAGAGTCTCTGTCTGCTCCTTGTTGCCAAAGCGTTCCTATCTGCCTCTTGTTACCAAAGAGTCCTGTTCATGTCTCCCATTCCTGTCTGCCCTTGTTAGCAAAACGTCACCCCTTGTTACCACAGAGTCCCTGTCTCCCTTTGTTGCCAAAGGAGTCTCTGTGTTTCCCCTGTTGCCGAAGCGCCCTGTCTGCTTGTTATCAAAGGGTGTGTGCCCATTTGTTACCAAAGAGTCCCTGTCTGCCCCTTCTTACTACTAGCTACTGTCTCCCCGTTGTTGCCAAACTACTGTTTCCTAGCGTTTGTCAGCGTCAGCTACTAGTGCTGTCCATTTGGATGGTACCATCACTGCCACCACTACCACTACTACTACTACCACTATATACTACTACTTTTACGCCGTCCTTAGCTCATATCACCCATCCGAAACGCATATCTCACTGTATTTAGAAACTTGCCTCCCACAACCAATAACTCTTCTTAAAGTCGCCATGTTGTTATTTTCTTGTAGGCTGCTTTGGATGTTAATCATCCTAGGTGCAGCTTTGGGTCTTGCATCTCAGATCTACACGGAGGTGGAAACCTACAATGCACGACCAACATTAATCCAAGAACAGTTCTTTGACGTTGTGGATGTTGTGAAGGAGGTCCCGACCATTAGTCTCTGTCCCTTGAAAGCTTTGGAAGTAAGTGTCAACCATGCAGACTCAAATACACCTCTCACTAAAGAAGAGATGACACTCCAACGGTTGGCTTATCCTGCGTCCTACATATCGGAAAGCTTCTTGTCAACCCTCCACATCAAACTTTTCGGCTGGGTTGAGGACGATTCAAGTTCATCCGCCCTACTACACTCTTCTTCACCGGCTGATCCATCATTGCAGGTCTTTGCGGATAGGTCATGGGAGAAGGAGGCTGGTTTGCCGCAGGTATTCAATGACTCTGATTCTGGCGAGCTCCTGAAACGCCTTGCCATTTCAAGTAAGAATTTAAATTTGACGACCTGTCCCAGAAAGAGAGGTTCTTTGTATGATCTCCCATGCTGCAATAACCTCTTCACAGAGGTTCTCACCGAGACAGGGTTGTGCCACACCCTTAATATGACGGCTGTGGCCACCGAAGGAAAACAGGTGGGATTTTTCAGCGATAACAGGTTCACCGTGGTCGTTGGTGTGAAGGTCTTCAATGATCTGACGCTGTTTGAAGATGTGAGGGGACTACAGGTCAGTATCCTACTCCAAGTAGGCTGTGACGTTACAGAAGACGTCAATATCGGCTTACGTTGACTGCGTATAAAGCAGCAGGAGAACTACGTGAGAGCAAATTGGTAGTGTAAGCATGCTTTGTTCAGTGCCATTTTTGCATGATGTAGGCAATCTACGAACACGATGAAGACATTATACCAGTGTCTGCATTACGCAAGGACAATCCGGAGAAAACATAATAACGTTAGACGTAACACGAGACAGGTCACACTCACAGTCCTGACGTTACACAATTGAAAGACAACACAAACTAGGCATAAGAAAAAATCTGGACGTTACATAAGGACAATCTAGTCGTTATATAAGGCCAGTCTGCACGTTACACAAGGACAATCTGGGCATTACACAAGGACAATCTGGACATTACACAAGGATAATCTGGACATTACATAAGGACAATCTGGACATTACACAAGGACAATCTGGACATTACATAAGGGCAAACTGGTCGTTACACAAGGGCAATCTGCACGTTACATAAGTACAATCTGGACATTACACAAGGACAATCAAGTCGTTATATAACGCCAGTCTTCACGTTACATAAGGACAATCTGGACGTTACATAAGGACAATCTGGACATTACATAAGGACAATCTGGACATTACACAAGGACAATCTGGACGTTACATAAGGGCAATCTGGTCGTTACACAAGGGCAATCTGCACGTTACATAAGTACAATCTGGACATTACACAAGGACAATCTGGACATTCACAAGGACAATCTGGACATTACACAAGGACAATCTGGACGTAACATAAGGACAATCTGGACATTACACAAGGACAATCTGGACATTACACAAGGACAATCTGGACATTACACAAGGACAATCTGAACATTACACAAGGACAATCTGGACATTACATAAGGACAATCTGGACATTACACAAGGACAATCTGGATGTTACATAAGGGCAATCTGGTCGATACACAAGGGCAATCTGCAAGTTACATAAGTACAATCTTGACATTACACAAGGACAATCTGGACATTACACAAGGACAATCTGAACATTACATAAGGACAATCTGGACGTTACATAAGGACATTCTGGACGTTACAGAAGGACAATCTGGACATTACACAAGGACAATCTGGACATTACACAATGGCAATCTGGACGTTACGCAAGGACAATCTGGACGTTACATAAGGACAATCTGGACATTACACAAGGACAAGTTGGACATTACATAAGGACAATCTGGATGTTATCTGAGGGCAATCTGGGCGTTACATAAGGACAATCTGGACATTACACAAGGACAATCTGGACATTACACAAAGGCAATCTGGACATTACACAAGGACAATCTTGACGTTACATAAGGACAATCTGGACATTACACAAGGGCAATCTGGACATTACACAAGGGCAATCTGGACGTTACACAAGGGCATTCTGGACATTACACAAGGGCAATCTGGGCATAACACAAGGACAATCTGGACATTACAAAAGGGCAATCTGGACATTACAAAAGGAAAATCTGGTTATTAGTTACGGACAATCTGGACGTTACACAAGGACCACCTGTGTGCTACACTAGGACCATCTGGACAATCTGGATGATACAAAAGGACAATCTGGATGTTACGCAAGGACAATCTGGATGTTACGCAAGGACTATCTGGACTTTACAAAAGGACAATCTGGACGTTATACAAGGACAATCTAGACAATCTGGATGTTACATAGGGACAGTCTGGACGTTGAAAAGGACAGTTTAGACATTACATAAGGACAATTTGGACGTACATCTAAGCTTCTGAAAGGGCGATCAATCAAACTATAGCCTGTTTGGGACAAAATGATACCGATTAATCACAATCCAAATGTAATGAAAATATCACACCAACTCTGGAAAAGTTTCATAACGTTTGTCTCCAAAATAAAAACGTTACTTAACAAACTATCATCATTCATTTTATTTTCCGTGTGAAATTTTACTAGTGTAAAGTAACGGCAATACTTTTGTGGGAACGTTCTGCGTTGAAAAGAATGTTTGATCAAGAAAATATTTGGAGGTAGATTGTGATTCATCTGTATCATTTTGACCCACACAGACATTACATGACTGCTGTTGTAGGTAGTTGTCCATAACACTGGCGACCCAGTCCTGCCGACCAAGAGGGGTGTGTTTGTATCGGTCCGTACTCAGTCCAGGCTCACAATACAAACTACAAAGGTGAGAACAACCTGTGAACAACAACTATTGACACGAATAGGAGCAATAGCACTTGAGGGGTAATTTATACTTGGAATGTGCAACGTTTTTAAAAAGGAAAGATGTGCGATTCTCACTAGATATGGTTGAACTAATTAGTATTCCCTCTTCCAAATGCCTGTTGTCGATTCTCATCCAGGTACACTGTGCCCCGTGGCAATTCTTGTGTCCCCCCGCCGTGATATTAATGGAAAATGGTAAATGTGGCGAAAGATCATTGCCACTCACTCGTTCATTCTATACAAATGATTGCCGGTTAGAATAAGGATTGGCCTCTATAGTTCTGTGTCGTCATGGCGACGTTGGTTGCTAACTGTCATATTTGTCTTCTACCGTCCAGAGTCCGTTTGTCGTGAATATTGTTTACAATGAGGTTCATATGAAACAGTTCACTTAGCCAAAACCTTTTTTCAAAATTTTCGTTTTTTGTCAGAGAATAAACTTGCCTCCGCCGTTTCGATCAGCCAATGGCTACTGCCTTGATACTGATGTAGAATCGCCGATTTTAACGAGATTCCCCGACTACCAGTACAGTGTGTACGCCTGTGAGAGGGAATGTCTCATCAACTACACTGTACATGTCTGTGGGTGTAGGCACGCCTGGGACCCAGGTGAGTATAGTATACGATAAGAATTATTTTGGTTCACGTAAATTCACATAACACTCATGACTTGCCACAGGCATGTCACATGTGACGTCACGTCAACAAGACAACCATAGTTACAATTTAGAATGTTTTCGTGTAAGCCCGACAGGTTGCAAAGCTTTGTATTTAGATAGTATTGAGGGCTTGCCCCGCCGGTGACACCCATCATGATCACATGCAAAGTCTAGTCAATCAGTTCTCTACTGGAACTAATACCTTTTGTTATACAGTCTTGTGGAGAGTTTTTTGGATTGTTTTTTTGTTTTTGTTTTTTGTCAATCTGATTCTTTATGAATAGAGCTAAATATGAAATAGCTGAGGCGGTCTCGCTTGACTCTTTACATTCAAGTTCAAGTGGGTAAATCAGTGTGAGGGAATTGGCTATTTGGTGGTTATTGAACGATATTAGATCATCATACCTGAAGCGTGAATTAAACGTCTTGGCTAAATTCTTGTTTCGATCTTGCCAACCCTAGCAGAAATTCTGATCTACGTGTATGAAGAAACAGATATACAAGGAGGGAGGACAACTGGGGACCATGGGGATGCCTACTTCTTGTCGAAATGTTTTACACCTAAAAATAATACAAATGAGGAAGTCCAACATTTGACATAATGTTTCTCAGTAAACTTCATCTGACGTTTGTTTTCATTTTCAAACAAGTGTCCTGAACCTCTGAATGTGGATATATCTGTGTTCCCCACGATGATTTACAAATACCCCATAGATCTGGGAATGAAGATTTTCCTTGAGTTTGCCATGTGGGATAATGGTGTACAACGTTGAAATATCAAATGTTTTGACCGAACTGAGTTCCGTTTCTGAGATTGTAAAAATTCCAGCTAATCTTTGAAATCATGAGAATCAACATAATAGTAATTCCGCTTGTCTAAAAAAATACGTTATGTGAATATGAAGAAGGTCCTTCCTTGATAGTATTAAGGATTATGGATAATCTTTGAGACAGGGATTTGGTTGTACATTTGCTCGACCCAGCAATATACAGCTCTTTGTACGGATTTTCATGTAGCTTTGGAATCCAGTACAAAAGAGGAATAGGCATGTCTTCAGGTTGTAAAGTCAAGCCGAAAGTTGATAGCAACAATGAATGTTTTTCGTCTTCCTCAGACTTCTTCCTCAGTTAACATACTGGCTTATGTGACATTTTGTTAATATGCCATGTATACCAACACCACCACTAAGGCTGTATTAAATCATTTGGAGTTTTGTGCTTCCATTGTTTCTGTTAGTCTACTGCTTTGGCCAGACTCGATTAATTACGGTCCTCGTGGTAGAGCGAAACCACTACTGACGTTAAACATCATTCTACCATATGATGTTGAAAAAAATGTTCTAAAGTATCGAATCTTCATAAGTACGATCTGAGACATGAAAGCACAGTGAGGTTTTAGCCTTACGCTGTGGGGCATTCCGCAACGCATTTCTTGATTTTCCTCATTAACGTTCAACAACTACGGTCAATGGTACAAAATGTCTTAAAGAGGAAATATTGCGTTTCAGGTCAGGAAGACATGTGCAGCATCATAGATACTGTTAACTGCATATGGCCAGCAGCTGCCGGTGGGTTTTACTTAACTAATTAGCTTCCATGTTAACTTTTAAATCAGTAAGGGCAGTGTTCATTTCAGACATTTTTAGTGTAAATCCTTTGATGGGTACCGGTCTGTATTTCTCACTTTCTCAATTGACCAATCCCTGAAGGCCCGGGTTAGAATTGATTTTCACAAACCATGCTTGTCGTAAGAGGCGACTAACGGGATCGAGTGGTCAGACTCGCTGACTTGGTTGACACGTCATCGTATCCCAATTGCGTAGATCGATGATCATGATGCCAATCACTGGCTTGTCTGGTCGGGACTCGATTATTTACGTGCTGCCTTCATAAAGCTGAAAAATTGCTGAATGTGGCTTTAAAAACAAACAAACAAAACAAGCAGTTGATCAGGGTTGCGCTCTCAAATATAAGTGTGTCTTTATGCTGAACAACTAACCTTAGCAAGCAAATAGAACCCAGATCACTGTGCTGCGTTTGAATGCTTTCATTTGTAAAGATATTTCGTCTACCATTTCAGTGTCCAAATTATATTATACAAATTGGAACAGCATTTAGAGAGTTGAACGTTGTCGTTTGTTGCATTTATTTAGAATACGGTGACAACCCAAGTTTGCAAACATGCCACTGCCCCACTCCGTGTCGAACCTCAACTCATGAAGTCACGATCTACCCAGCAGCGTTGGGGAAGTTCCAGCCCACACGGTTTAGGCCAGGTGACCAAGGAGTGGACGGTGAAACATGTAGAGACACACAGGTGTTGAGTGGCAGGTACAGATTATGTACACGTTCCCAGTCAAGAAAGGCGTGGGTTGAAGTCGTAAAAGGCAAAGGAAACGCAACTTCCAGACCTGATTCTGTAGTTACCACCATATACACCAGTTTATATTACTAGACAGGTCGTTTCACTGATGTCAGAGTGCGTACATCATGTAGTACTGTTTTTTATCGCTTTTCGTGGGAGAATGCAATATCACAAAGCTGAATTAATTCATAACACTTATAAAGTTACGATACATACAAGCTGTGTTAGATTCTGTATTTTTTCAGTAATTACGAGGTGCTGCTGTTAGATGTGGGTTTTCCTGTCAAGATAAGAGAAGTAAGGCAATTGGAAGCAAAGACTTTGGGGGATATTCTTGGTGAGTACACACGATGAGCCATTGTTAAACAAGACTGTAGATTGTACCCAAAGTGAGTACAAAATGTGATACTGGCCTAGACTAGGACACTAGATGGTACCCTACGAAAGTACAGAATTGTGACACTTAACAAGGACAATAAATGGTATCCCAGGTGAATACAAAAGGTGATACCGGTCTAAACAAGGACAACAGATGGAACCCATGTGAGTACAGTGTACCACCTGTTGTCCTTGTTAGAACAAGGCTATAAAGGGTACCCTCGGTGAGTTCACAAAGTAAGACTGTTGTGAACAAGGGCTCTAAAAGGTATCCACAGGGAGTTCATAAAGTAAGAGAGTTATGAACAAGTACAATATATGGTACCCTCGGTGAGTCTATGAAGTTAGACAGTTGTGAACAAGTACAATAGATGGTACCCTCGGTGAGTCTATAAAGTTAAACAGTTGTGAACAAGTACAATAGATGGTACCTCTCGGTGAGTCTATAAAGTTAGACAGTTTGATTTAAACATATTTATTCAAGAGAATGGATTGGGTACAAGTTATGCCAACTTAGTGAAACCCTCTCCTAGTTAGACAGTTGTGAACAAGTACAATAGATGGTACCTCTCGGTGATTTCACAAACTTAGACAGTTGTGAACAAGTACAATAGATGGTGCCCTTGGTGAGTCTATAAAGTTAAACAGTTGTGAACAAGTACAATAGATGGTGCCCTCGGTGAGTCTATAAAGTGAAACAGTTGTGAACAAGTACAATAGATGGTGCCCTCGGTGAGTCTATAAAGTGAAACAGTTGTGAACAAGTACAATAGATGGTGCCCTCGGTGAGTCTATAAAGTTAGACAGTTGTGAACAAGTACAATAGATGGTACCTCTCGGTGAGTCTATAAAGTTAGACAGTTGTGAACAAGTACAATAGATGGTACCTCTCGGTGAGTGTCTAAACTTAGACAGTTGTGAACAAGTACAATAGATGGTACCTCTCGGTGAGTGTCTAAACTTAGACAGTTGTGAACAAGTACAATAGATGGTACCTCTCGGTGAGTGTCTAAACTTAGACAGTTGTGAACAAGTACAATAGATGGTACCCTTGGTGAGTCTATAAAGTTAGACTGTTGTGAACAAGTACAATAGATGGTACCCTCGGTGAGTCTATAAAGTTAAACAGTTATGAACAAGTACAATAGATGGTGCCCTCGGTGAGTCTATAAAGTTAGACAGTTATGAACAAGTACAATAGATGGTACCCTCGGTGAGTCTATAAAGTTAAACAGTTGTGAACAAGTACAATAGATGGTACCCTCGGTGAGTCTATAAAGTTAGACTGTTGTGAACAAGTACAATAGATGGTACCCTCGGTGAGTCTATAAAGTTAAACAGTTATGAACAAGTACAATAGATGGTACCCTCGGTGAGTCTATAAAGTTAAACAGTTGTGAACAAGTACAATAGATGGTGCCCTTGGTGAGTCTATAAAGTTAGACTGTTGTGAACAAGTACAATAGATGGTACCCTCGGTGAGTCTATAAAGTTAAACAGTTGTGAACAAGTACAATAGGTGGTGCCCTCGGTGAGTCTATAAAGTTAAACAGTTGTGAACAAGTACAATAGGTGGTGCCCTCGGTGAGTCTATAAAGTTAAACAGTTGTGAACAAGTACAATAGATGGTGCCCTTGGTGAGTCTATAAAGTTAGACTGTTGTGAACAAGTACAATAGATGGTACCCTCGGTGAGTCTATAAAGTTAAACAGTTATGAACAAGTACAATAGATGGTACCCTCGGTGAGTCTATAAAGTTAGACTGTTGTGAACAAGTACAATAGATGGTACCCTCGGTGAGTCTATAAAGTTAAACAGTTGTGAACAAGTACAATAGATGGTGCCCTCGGTGAGTCTATAAAGTTAAACAGTTGTGAACAAGTACAATAGATGGTGCCCTTGGTGAGTCTATAAAGTTAAACAGTTGTGAACAAGTACAATAGATGGTGCCCTTGGTGAGTCTATAAAGTTAGACTGTTGTGAACAAGTACAATAGATGGTACCCTCGGTGAGTCTATAAAGTTAAACAGTTGTGAACAAGTACAATAGATGGTGCCCTTGGTGAGTCTATAAAGTTAAACAGTTGTGAACAAGTACAATAGATGGTGCCCTTGGTGAGTCTATAAAGTTAAACAGTTGTGAACAAGTACAATAGATGGTGCCCTTGGTGAGTCTATAAAGTTAGACTGTTGTAAACAAGTACAATAGATGGTACCCTCAGTGAGTCTATAAAGTTAAACAGTTGTGAACAAGTACAATAGATGGTGCCCTTGGTGAGTCTATAAAGTTAAACAGTTGTGAACAAGTACAATAGATGGTGCCCTTGGTGAGTCTATAAAGTTAGACTGTTGTGAACAAGTACAATAGATGGTACCCTCGGTGAGTCTATAAAGTTAAACAGTTATGAACAAGTACAATAGATGGTACCCTCGGTGAGTCTATAAAGTTAGACTGTTGTGAACAAGTACAATAGATGGTACCCTTGGTGAGTCTATAAAGTTAAACAGTTGTGAACAAGTACAATAGATGGTGCCCTTGGTGAGTCTATAAAGTTAAACAGTTGTGAACAAGTACAATAGATGGTACCCTCGGTGAGTCTATAAAGTTAAACAGTTGTGAACAAGTACAATAGATGGTGCCCTTGGTGAGTCTATAAAGTTAAACAGTTGTGAACAAGTACAATAGATGGTACCCTCGGTGAGTCTATAAAGTTAAACAGTTGTGAACAAGTACAATAGATGGTGCCCTTGGTGAGTCTATAAAGTTAAACAGTTGTGAACAAGTACAATAGATGGTACCCTCGGTGAGTCTATAAAGTTAAACAGTTGTGAACAAGTACAATAGATGGTACCCTTGGTGAGTCTATAAAGTTAAACAGTTGTGAACAAGTACAATAGATGGTGCCCTCGGTGAGTCTATAAAGTTAAACAGTTGTGAACAAGTACAATAGATGGTGCCCTTGGTGAGTCTATAAAGTTAGACTGTTGTGAACAAGTACAATAGATGGTGCCCTCGGTGATTTCACAAAGTTAGACAGTTATGAACAAGTACAATAGATGGTGCCCTCGGTGATTTCACAAAGTTAGACAGTTGTGAACAAGTATAATAGATGGTACCCTCGGTGATTTCACAAAGTTAGACAGTTATGAACAAGTACAATAGATGGTGCCCTCGGTGATTTCACAAAGTTAGACAGTTATGAACAAGTACAATAGATGGTGCCCTTGGTGAGTCTATAAAGTTAGACTGTTGTGAACAAGTACAATAGATGGTACCCTCGGTGAGTCTATAAAGTTAAACAGTTGTGAACAAGTACAATAGATGGTGCCCTTGGTGAGTCTATAAAGTTAAACAGTTGTGAACAAGTACAATAGATGGTGCCCTTGGTGAGTCTATAAAGTTAAACAGTTGTGAACAAGTACAATAGATGGTGCCCTTGGTGAGTCTATAAAGTTAGACTGTTGTAAACAAGTACAATAGATGGTACCCTCAGTGAGTCTATAAAGTTAAACAGTTGTGAACAAGTACAATAGATGGTGCCCTTGGTGAGTCTATAAAGTTAAACAGTTGTGAACAAGTACAATAGATGGTGCCCTTGGTGAGTCTATAAAGTTAGACTGTTGTGAACAAGTACAATAGATGGTACCCTCGGTAAGTCTATAAAGTTAAACAGTTATGAACAAGTACAATAGATGGTACACCTCGGTGAGTCTATAAAGTTAGACTGTTGTGAACAAGTACAATAGATGGTACCCTTGGTGAGTCTATAAAGTTAAACAGTTGTGAACAAGTACAATAGATGGTGCCCTTGGTGAGTCTATAAAGTTAAACAGTTGTGAACAAGTACAATAGATGGTACCCTCGGTGAGTCTATAAAGTTAAACAGTTGTGAACAAGTACAATAGATGGTGCCCTTGGTGAGTCTATAAAGTTAAACAGTTGTGAACAAGTACAATAGATGGTACCCTCGGTGAGTCTATAAAGTTAAACAGTTGTGAACAAGTACAATAGATGGTGCCCTTGGTGAGTCTATAAAGTTAAACAGTTGTGAACAAGTACAATAGATGGTACCCTCGGTGAGTCTATAAAGTTAAACAGTTGTGAACAAGTACAATAGATGGTACCCTTGGTGAGTCTATAAAGTTAAACAGTTGTGAACAAGTACAATAGATGGTGCCCTCGGTGAGTCTATAAAGTTAAACAGTTGTGAACAAGTACAATAGATGGTGCCCTTGGTGAGTCTATAAAGTTAGACTGTTGTGAACAAGTACAATAGATGGTGCCCTCGGTGATTTCACAAAGTTAGACAGTTATGAACAAGTACAATAGATGGTGCCCTCGGTGATTTCACAAAGTTAGACAGTTGTGAACAAGTATAATAGATGGTACCCTCGGTGATTTCACAAAGTTAGACAGTTATGAACAAGTACAATAGATGGTGCCCTCGGTGATTTCACAAAGTTAGACAGTTATGAACAAGTACAATAGATGGTGCCCTCGGTGATTTCACAAAGTTAGACAGTTGTGAACAAGTACAATAGATGGTACCTCTCGGTGAGTCTATAAAGTTAGACAGTTGTGAACAAGTACAATAGATGGTACCCTCGGTGAGTCTATAAAGTTAGACAGTTGTGAACAAGTACAATAGATGGTGCCCTTGGTGAGTCTATAAAGTTAAACAGTTGTGAACAAGTACAATAGATGGTGCCCTCGGTGATTTCACAAAGTTAGACAGTTATGAACAAGTACAATAGATGGTGCCCTCGGTGATTTCACAAAGTTAGACAGTTGTGAACAAGTATAATAGATGGTACCCTCGGTGATTTCACAAAGTTAGACAGTTATGAACAAGTACAAAAGATGGTGCCCTCGGTGATTTCACAAAGTTAGACAGTTATGAACAAGTACAATAGATGGTGCCCTCGGTGATTTCACAAAGTTAGACAGTTGTGAACAAGTACAATAGATGGTACCTCTCGGTGAGTCTATAAAGTTAAACAGTTGTGAACAAGTACAATAGATGGTACCCTCGGTGATTTCACAAAGTTAGACAGTTATGAACAAGTACAATAGATGGTGCCCTCGGTGATTTCACAAAGTTAGACAGTTGTGAACAAGTACAATAGATGGTGCCCTTGGTGAGTCTATAAAGTTAAACAGTTGTGAACAAGTACAATAGATGGTACCCTCGGTGAGTCTATAAAGTTAAACAGTTGTGAACAAGTACAATAGATGGTACCCTTGGTGAGTCTATAAAGTTAAACAGTTGTGAACAAGTACAATAGATGGTGCCCTCGGTGAGTCTATAAAGTTAAACAGTTTTGAACAAGTACAATAGATGGTGCCCTTGGTGAGTCTATAAAGTTAAACAGTTGTGAACAAGTACAATAGATGGTGCCCTCGGTGATTTCACAAAGTTAGACAGTTATGAACAAGTACAATAGATGGTGCCCTCGGTGATTTCACAAAGTTAGACAGTTGTGAACAAGTATAATAGATGGTACCCTCGGTGATTTCACAAAGTTAGACAGTTATGAACAAGTACAATAGATGGTGCCCTCGGTGATTTCACAAAGTTAGACAGTTATGAACAAGTACAATAGATGGTGCCCTCGGTGATTTCACAAAGTTAGACAGTTGTGAACAAGTACAATAGATGGTACCTCCTCGGTGAGTCTATAAAGTTAGACAGTTGTGAACAAGTACAATAGATGGTACCCTCGGTGAGTCTATAAAGTTAGACAGTTGTGAACAAGTACAATAGATGGTGCCCTTGGTGAGTCTATAAAGTTAAACAGTTGTGAACAAGTACAATAGATGGTGCCCTCGGTGATTTCACAAAGTTAGACAGTTATGAACAAGTACAATAGATGGTGCCCTCGGTGATTTCACAAAGTTAGACAGTTGTGAACAAGTATAATAGATGGTACCCTCGGTGATTTCACAAAGTTAGACAGTTATGAACAAGTACAAAAGATGGTGCCCTCGGTGATTTCACAAAGTTAGACAGTTATGAACAAGTACAATAGATGGTGCCCTCGGTGATTTCACAAAGTTAGACAGTTGTGAACAAGTACAATAGATGGTACCTCTCGGTGAGTCTATAAAGTTAAACAGTTGTGAACAAGTACAATAGATGGTACCCTCGGTGATTTCACAAAGTTAGACAGTTATGAACAAGTACAATAGATGGTGCCCTCGGTGATTTCACAAAGTTAGACAGTTGTGAACAAGTACAATAGATGGTACCCTCGGTGAGTCTATAAAGTTAAACAGTTATGAACAAGTACAAAAGATGGTACCCTCGGTGAGTCTATAAAGTTAAACAGTTATGAACAAGTACAAAAGATGGTACCCTCGGTGAGTCTATAAAGTTAGACAGTTGTGAACAAGTACAATAGATGGTACCTCTTGGTGAGTCTATAAAGTTAAACAGTTATGAACAAGTACAAAAGATGGTACCCTCGGTGAGTCTATAAAGTTACACAGTTGTGAACAAGTACAATAGATGGTGCCCCCGGTGAGTCTATAAAGTTAGACAGTTGTTAACAAGTACAATAGATGGTGCCCCGGTGATTTCACAAAGTTAGACAGTTGTGAACAAACGCTATAAAGGTACCATCGGTAAGAGATATAGGTGTTTTAACCATGAATGAGATATTGTGACAGAAAAGAAGAAAAATGTAAGTCCTTGTCATTACAGCTGGTGGTGTATTGATGCATCAGTACTCAGACAGTACTTACCTGAGTCATGGGAGTGGGCCGAGTTGAAACTCTCTGGTCGTACTCAAAGAACAAAACATTACATACATGTTTGTCATAAGGATATATATTACTGATTAATGCATCTACGAAATTGTGAAAAGCGTTCTGATAATGTAAATGTACATTTGATACAATCTGTTTCTTCCCATAGCTGCCCTCGGGGGTCTCATTGGCCTGTTCCTTGGATTCAGTATCGTGTCTGTGGTGGAGATTGCAGAGCTCCTATTCCTCATCCTCCGAGGCATCACCTGTCGGATGAGGAAACAGGAGATCCAGGTTGAGGATAAATAAAAGTGAAAAAAAAGTGACATGAGTTGCACATGCTTTTGTTGCAACATGGAGGGGAGTGTTTTTATCATGATAAGCCCAACACTAGGTGATTATTTGTCTGTTGCAATCTTTTGTTAAACCTCTTGGAACTGACATATACTGAAGAGCAAAAGAAAGTATACACCAATAGTTACTTGAAGGTGATGTGTTTGGGGCCATATGGTGGCAGTGTTTCATGAAGTGACTGTTTACAACCTTCTGACTTTTGGGGCAAATCCAATTCTCAAGTGTATATTCTTTCTTTCAGTTGGGTCTGAAACTATATATTTTGTCACGATACAATGTGTACATTGAAGCCATGTAATAAACGATAATCTATCATCTCAAATCTTTGTGCTTTGTTATGAGACATACACATCCGTTCCGTGTGGAACCAAAGACAGCAAACGTCATCAGCAACAGCACAGAGCATTAGTTTATCAACCCCTCCCAGGTTGCTGTATCTGTATCATACATACATACACTGCACTCATTATACAGCCATTAGGTGAGGTGAAATTGGGTTTAACGTCGTGCTTGAGAATATTTCGCTCATATGACGACGTGCATGCGTGTGTATGTGTATGTGCGGCTGCTTGTACTAGCCCAGACTTAAGCTGGTTTTATAGTGCTAGCCCACTGAGATACCATGCCGCAGTGAAGCATGAATACCCCACTCAGACACATTATACTGACTCCGAGCCGACCAGTCCTTGTTGTACCCATTAATGCCAAGCGCCAGGCAGGGACCAACAAGTACCATATTTTAACGTCTTTTGGTATGACGCGGCCGGGGATCGAACCCGCGACCTTCCGCTCTCCGGGCGGATGCTCTAACCACTACACCACGGAGGCGGTCATACAGCCATTAACATGAATACCACCAATCACCAATCACTTAATGACAGCATCCTGTACTTTACCTGACTATATTAACTACCATTGATATTAACGGTTCATGGAGCCTTTTTGTGGTGGTGTGTTTTAAGCATTCGTTTGGATGGTTTGTAAATTCTCACAGGAGCCCTTGTAGCTATACCTGACCTGTTTGTTTCCAACTTTTGATATTAGTATCACGTAGTCCAGAGGTTCCAGTTTTATAGTTTGGCAAGACCTCAATCTGCCTTTGTATACTTTCAAACTGGGCGTGGTCTCTGCCAAAAGTTAAATGAAACCAAAGAAATACCTTCTGAAATGAACAGCTTTGCTTTATAGGAAATGCACAAAACTATAGAATTATAGACTTGTTCCTCACATGATGCATGTAAAGGCATGACGTGACAAATGGCGTTCCCAATCCATTGCTTTTTCTCACAAGCTACACCAATGTACACCAATAAAGAACTTTCATCATTAAGAGAGAGTGAGTGACTTAAAATATATTGTCACATCAGCAATATTTCAACCATATCATGACAAGAAAAATCTATATATTTAACCTCAATAAATCTATACCATAAAAACCTGTCATCAAAGGACAGTAAAATCACCAGAATATCACATATTTGGTTTAAAACCAGCATGCTATAATAAATGGTATCACTAACAGCAATCAATACAATATAGAAAGGGGTTAAGATCACCAGAAGTCCAAGTTAGGCTACCACACTAGGGGACGTTGGGGACTTACGGTATGAGTCAGTTAGTTAGGTTTAACCTCACTTTGAGCAGTGTTCCAGTTATATACCATGGCGTGTCAGCTTGATGTGAGAGGAAAGCCCGAAGTGGTGCATGTCTCGTTTACCACTGGTGAAACACAGGTATGGATCTGACAAACCCAGAAACAAACTAAGAGGACCCTGGATTCAAGCCCACAATTACAGACTTCTGGGGGCCCAAGGGACACAACTCTGCATGAGTTGCGTCCCCTTAGACGACAGGACTTCCTTGCCTCTTCATCAACTGAAAGATGGCTAAGACGGGTTTCACTTGTTTGCTCAACACCATTAGAAAATGAGAAAATCACAGCTATCTCACATGGCCATGTTTGTTTCTTGCTTACCTCTGCACACTATTCCAGCTGCATGATGGCAGGGTATAAACAGTCTAGTCTGGATCAACCTGATTATTCATTCAGTTGCATTCAGAATGCTGTGGGCCTATACCTACTTGGAATCACAGTGATACGGCAACCTGTATATTATGAAATGTGGACCAGCCAAATGTGTGGCCTCATGTCTTAGTTTTCCACCCTAAGGGTCTCCAACCCAGTATCTCTCTTCCTAACTTCAGCATCGGTCAGTGTGAGATTCAGCCAAACCAAGAGGTGCGAAACTTGGGAGTTATTTTTGATTCCTCACTGTCGATGGAGCCACAAATTAAAAACATCTGAAGAAGGGCGTACTACCACATTCGCAACATCGGCATGATTCGACGATACCTGGACGTCAAGACTACAGCATCTCTTATTCAGGCATATGTAACATCTCGTCTTGACTACTGTAATGCGCTTCTTGTGTGTCTCCCAAATTATCTTATACACAAGCTTCAGAAGGTGCAGAATACTGTGGTCTCTCAGTCAAAGAAATCAGACCACATTACTCCCGTTCTTCACTCACTTCATTGGCTTCCCGTCCACTACCGCATAAAATATAAACTCTACTCCTTGTTTTCAAAAGTATACATGGTCTAGCTCCTCAGTACCTCTGTGATCTGTTCCACTGTTATACTCCTGTACGTTCCCTCCGATCAAATGACCAGTGTCTTTTGACAATTCCTGTGACTAGGACAAAAACATATGGTGACAGGTCACTCGAGACGACTGGCCCTCATCTCTGGAACAATCTTCCATCTCACCTCAGAACACAACCAGATTTAGCTGTTTTTAAATCAAATCTAAAGACGTGTCTCTTTGCTGAAGCACTTGAACTCTATGTGATATCTAGACCATCTTAGAGCCAAAGCGCCTTTGAGCGGTTTACGGATATTGGCGCTATACAAGTACATGTATTTGTATGTGTGTGTGTGTGTGTGTGTGTGTGTGTGTGTGTGTGTCCCTATAGGGAGACAGAAATCAGCCACGTCCAACATTCAGACCTACAGGTACCAGTTTTGTCAGCTCTTGACAACCATGAGTGAGTGAGTGTCTGAGTGTGTGAGTGAGTGTAAGTGAGTGAAAGAGTAAGAGTGCGAGAGAAAATGAGTGACTGACTGAGTGAGTGAGTAGCAATATTCCAGCAGTGTCACAGAAATGGGCTTCACACATAATACCCAAGTTTGGAAACGAACCTGGGTCTTCGGCATGACAAATGAACACTTTATCTACTAGGCTACCCCACCACCAGCGACAACCATGACATACTGGCAACCGATTCTGGCATGGAAACCACTTAGAGTTTCCAGTTTTCCCTTCCAAAGAAGACCTTCCCTGAGTGTCTGCCTGAAGAGTGGAAGGATGCTGGATTGATCCATGGCTGTGTCACACAAATGTTGCTAAAAGTTGCTCTTGATGTTACCCTGACATTTGGCATTAAGAAGATAACACAAGGACTTATTAAGGACTGTTAAACAAGGTGTTGACAACAAAGAGTTTTATTGTCCAGGATCTTGTTATACAAATGTGTCAGAATATCAATCCAACGGGTATCAAACGTAAACAGTTTACCAAACAGATCAGAATGTATGCACATTTATACAAATTCTCAGCAAATTACATATATACATAGCTGTACAAAATACAAATATTCACAATAAATTAACATTATATACAGCTATTCAGCAACGACTATAAAACACTGACGCTCCAGAGATATGGCAAACAATGACTCAAAGGCATCAACATCTACACTTTCAAACAGAAATAATAAGATTTGTGTGAAGGAAATGAAATAAAACTACAGACATCTTTTATGTTAAAGTGGTATAGCATATTGATCATATATTGTGAAGATATATTGCAAAGTGAACATCAAGCATTATAAAACAAAAGCTGATCTGTCAGAATTAGACCACCAACAGATTTAACTGACTGAAAACAAAATGTGGAGAAAATCAAAGTTTTCTCATGTCAGAGAAATCAGATAGGGTTCTTTGCTGCATACATTGTTGAGTTTTATGACTCAGTTCAAAGATAGTTTATATGACACCTATGAAAGCTTTCTTTATAAGCCTAATAAAAATAACGAGATGTGAAGTTAGTTGATCTGTCATGGCAGATTGATATTGCCATAACATACAGACTTCAATTATTGTTTTTCATTAACTAGTTTTAAGTAGCCTTATCTATGGAGCCATGTAAAGAAAGTTGTAACAACTCTGGTTTTATATTGTTATTAAGTACACAATATGTTCACTGAAGGTGATGATGCTCTGACATATTAGGATGGTTTAATATCAAATTACATTCAGGATGAAACTTTAACATCCCACTGCCCATAGACAACCATGAAGGATAGTCAAGAGGTGATGACACACTCTTCTCTGCTTGATTGTCATTTGGAGTGAAATAAGGGTGAATAAAAAGCAATATAAATGTATAGTACATCATCAGTCAACAGGAAGATGCTTCAACACAGTTTAATCTGGTCCCCAGATGCTTCAACACAGGTTAATCTGGTCCCCAGATGCTTCAACACAGGTTAATCTGGTCCCCAGATGAACATTCCACCCAAGAGTGGGGGAATGCTACATTTTCAAAAGCATCTGGAAAGGGAGATGTTTATCATTTTGATGTGAAGTTTACATGATAAAGAGCTTTTAAATTGGGTAAGGGGCCAATTACACAACACAAAACTGACATTGCAAACTCTGACGTTCACACAGTTTGGCCCTCCCACTATGAAGATTCATACCCACATAAAGCCACAAAAAATGAATATTCTTAAACATTGTTGGTTTACATAGTTTTCATAAATTATGACACATCAATCCATACAGTTCCTATTCACTGAAAGATGCATCTGTCTGTGCCTCCACTTCTATAAACGATGATGACTTCAAAAATGATGCAATTCATACAACACACTTATGCAGCATGACTATTTTTCCAACAGAAGTTCACTTACTGTGACAATTGTCTAGTTATCATGATGAAACAAGAACAAAGCCCTAACAGTGGTGCGTGGTAATATGGCACTGCGGTAACATTTTTACACTGACAAACACGAGCACGTCAAGCACTATCAGAAACAATGTTTACACCTGCAACAGCTTGGTACAAATGTACAAGATTTCATTTCCTATTCACTGAAAGATGCATCTGTCTGTGCCTCCACTTCTATAAACGACGATGACTTCAAAAATGATGCAATTCATATAACACACTTATGCAGCATGACTATTTTTCCAACAGAAGTTCACTTACTGTGACAATTGTCTAGTTATCATGATGAAACAAGAACA